GCTGCCTGAGCCGTCGAGGGAGCGGCTTTTTTTTTTTTTTGGTTCTCAATTAAGTCGCCGAACGGCTGGCGGCCTATGTCTGTCAGGCATTGTCCCTCCTGGCCGGAGGGTGAGGCATCGTGCCGCCACGACGCCGTGACCAATCGACGAGACGACGACAAGTGCAGCATCTTTCTTGGAAGGTACAGCCGCAAATCGCCCAGCTAATTGAACGAGCAGTGCGGCGGACGCTTTTGAGCTTGGTTGCGGCGGCCATTTTGATGTAGGCTGCCGCGAGTCGGAGAACGCTCGCACAGCGGCACACACACGACGAGGAAGAGCCACGTTGGTGACACATTGCAGTGCAGAGACATCGCCCCATTATTTAACGTTCCCGTGGGTCATGCATGCTCGGACTCGCTTGCTGGATTTCGGGCCGACCGGTCGTGCGCTCGCGCGCTCCGCGCGCTTGCGATCTCCCGCGTCATCGTGGCTCTGGCCGACTGGACTCGCCCTACGTCATCTCCTGCCGCCGACGACCTTCCACCTCCGACGACAGTGCAGCTCTGACTTACTGGACGTGTTCTACGCCATCCACCGACGCCGAAAGGTGCTCTCGCAGGTGCGCCCCGTCCTCGGACTCCAGTGACCGTGCTCCATCTTTCCTATCTCTTCTATCCCCTCGGTTTGTCCTCGCTCGCTGTGGCTTACCACCACACGTCTTTTCTTCTCTTCTCCTTCTTCGGCTTTCCCACATCTTTACTCCTATCTTTTTTATCCCTCCTCACCCCCATCCCTCGTGAGCTACTGTGGCGGTGTCGCTCATTGAAGCAGACAATAACGGGGCTCGCTTTTCTCTTCTTTTCTCTTTTTCATAGCCACTCCGCTCGTCACCCTCGCCGGTTATGTGTGATACGTGATTGGACCGTTCCATCTGGACGCGTTTCCCGGATCTAGGGATCTGGGGAGAACGTACCCTTTATAATGAGCCTACCGGCTCACTCGAAGGAGCGCAATGTAGAGGAGCGCCAGATTCGAGAGCTGGCCATGTAAGAAAGAGCTCGCCATGTACATAATGTAAACAAACCCCCTTTATGCCTCTCTCCCTCCTGCCTCGACAACTTCACTCCGGATCTCCGGTGCCTGCAAACCCCCGGTCACAACAGTCTTAAATCAGCCATGACCTGCCCCTGGCCGATTCTGTCGCCCTAGTAACACGCCGCAGGTGTACTTATCGTCATAGGGTTTCCTATAAGTACACTAGATGGAACTCAGACGCTAGTGTCTATGGAAGCTGCAACGCACGGCACTTCAGCGAGCATGAGAATGATCGGTAGTACACCATTTTGTATAATCTGCAAACTTTTGGCTTCACGTGGCTCAGAGCAGCTTCATCACGAGACGACAATGAGCAAATGTTGAGCAGTTACACTTTACCGTCTTAATCTTTTAGGCCTATCAATTGAAATCCCCTCGCGAAACCCACAACGGTCCGTTCTTTTATTTGAAACAAAGAGCAAAAACACAGCAGTAAACGAAGCCACAAGTGTATTCGAAGCCTGTAAGCACGAATACTATGCACATTTGTGTGCTGCCCATCACTTCCATGATAGCTGAACTATCAGAGCGGCAGTTTCACCTCTAGTTAACTTCATGCAACTCTATGCTTACCGTCATTTCGTTCCGAGAGAATCAGCGGCGAAATCACGTCCACCCTTCACGAATTAAGAAATACGTCAAGGGGGCAAGCAATTTGCTGTAAACGTGCATCACACGTAGCCGCCACAGCAGAGGAAATAAAACGAAAAAAAAAAAGGGAGACGGACAGCAACGAATGCGAAAGGATGGTTATTTCGGGGCCCACGCTTCGAAGCACCAAACTGCACGAAATAAAGGCTCTAAATGTCACGCCAAAACGCCATTTCCACGACACGCACGGGCAAATTTGCCAATAAATGTGCTTAGTCGCGGCGAAAGCTACATTAAAAACGCTAGCAAGAACGCGTCGATGAACTCTTTTCGACTATCGGCCTGGGGCAATCGTCTGCATAAAAAGTTGTACGGCGTCAGAGTTTAAGGCGTACCGCTTTAATATTACCAAAATCGAACTGCCAGAATGTTCGGTGCATAATTCGATCCAACTTTTACTATTACCATTTCCACGCTTTTTCTGCACCTACACTGGACGTTCCCCGCCAATACCATCATTAGACGCAAAGTTAAGTCGATTATAACGAAACAACACCTGCTTGGCTCGATATACTAAATGTGCACGTAAGCCAGAAAAACGAAAGACATGACATCTCACGGAAATTTCAAGCAGTGGAACGCGAAAAATACAACGCACGCATGAAACGAAATCCTACTAGACATGACTTGTCAGTCATGGAGAATAAAATGGTTTTGGATAATGTGGGCCGCTGTTCCGACTACGCAATGCAAGAGCTCATTGAAACGATTTGACGTTGAGTTCATCGGTAAGTGAGCACCTTCTTCAAACGAAATATTAGTGACACTGACTCCTGTTTCCGCAAATGAGGGAACAGCATTCGGCGTGGGGAGAATGAAACGTTTATTGGATATTCTGCGCGAGAAGATCCTTTCAGGGATCCCAGCTTGTCCGGCAGTGAGCTAGCGCCACCTTCCAACACATGGCGCAACGAAGAGCTAAGTTCCGCAATTCGCGCGAGAACGTCACGCGAATCGCAGACGCCGTGACAATGACGAGAAAACACAAGCGCCACCTCTGAACACGAACTCAAAATGAAATCCGGCCTCCGCGACACGCGCACGAAAATAAAAACCACACCGCTCATCTCGAAAGCGACCAATACGCCAGCGCCATCTTCATTCAGCCAAGTGAAAAAGAAGCAGCCTCCGCAACTCAAAACGCAACACTCATCTCAGAGGCGTCAGTGCGCGAGCGCCATCTTTGAACGAGAGGTTGAACGAAAATCTAGCCTCAGCAATTTGAAACCAGCAAAACTATGCGATACCCGTCTTGGAGGCATTAGTTCGCCAGCGCCATCTACGAACTAACGAACGAAGGAAGAAACAGCCTTCGGAATGTGTGCACAAGAATACACCATATATCCTCCTTGGAATACACGGGCAACATTCGTCTCGAAGGCCATGTTAAATGTCGCACAGTTGCTGCTACGTACAAAAGATGGCAGCACTGGCGCATGCGCTACTTCTGCCATCTATTGAATGTTATTCCACTTGCTTAGCAGATTGTTCCGTGTTTGGCCGACAGAGGCCGCGCACGCTAATTACAAAACAAAGGCGTGCATACAACCACGGTTCATCCAGCGGCCGCGATTCAACACAGCGTCTGAGTATCTGCACGCCTACTGCAGTGAGGTTAAATTTATCGTAATATCGAGCATCCAATGAATCAATACAAAGAAGCGCCAATTTCGTTAAGCACGTTACGCCAATAAAAATTTTAAAGCGAATCTTTTTCGACGCTTTACAAAAAAATATTCGTTTTCTTAGTTGCTTTTTTTTTTTTCGTCTTCATGGTGCTAGGTTTTGAGGCACCAAGAAATATTAGCGAGAGAAATCACATTGAATAGAGTTTTATGCGTAATTTAACTAAAACTGTGATCAAAACAGTAGACAGGGCTAGCTCCATGCAGCTCAAAGGATAACAAGGTTACAAAATAAAAGCAATCGGGCGACCCAATTGACGCCCACGGAAGCCCATCACAAGCATCCTCATCAACACTTCAGTGGCGAAACCTCTCCTCTCGCCGTCCCGCCAGTAAATTAAGCGAGGCGATACAAGGCCGAGCTTATTGAAAGCGCCCGATCGTCACTGCGGACTCGATAGCAACCGAACTTCGAACAAGGTATCACCATAAACCGATCAAGCGTTCACAATACACGCCGCCTGCGAGCGTTAAATATTTTGCGTCACGGTTGACAAAGAAGAAAGCCTATGAGATATGAGCGAAATCGGCTCCGCACAAAACCAATAAGCCAAACATATACGTGTCACAAAAGAGGTCGGGCTAAACGGAACGCGCAATCACCGAGAGCCAGTGAAAGCGCCCAGTTAGGGGTCATTGACACCAAAGGCATACACCGAAGTTGCGTTGGTTTCCAAGTAAAAAAATGCGGAAATACGAAGCAAACGCGGTACCTGCATCACTGTTATCACGTTAGTTGTCTTCTTCCCATTGAGAGCTACTGCTAGTACTACACGGGTGTCAACGACCTCAGACAACGTGCGACTGCGCTACAGCCACGCGGAGCTCAACAATGAAACACTTTGGAGCAATTGAAGCAGATCACGCCACCGGGGGAAGAGCCGAGTTTTCCACTCCTTACTTTCGAGCCAAGGCATAGCGTTCACCGGGAATAAACTGGCACGATAAATTTGACATCGCCGAAGGACGCGCGCGCGCGGTAAGCAACAAGTAGGCGGCGAATGCGACTGAACAAAGGACGCGCGCGGACTGAAGCGACGCCGACGAAAGTGACGCTGAATAAATTAAGAAAATGTGCTAAGCTATGCCGGCCGTGAGCTGACGCGTGCTGCGTTTCTAGAACGAAAATCTGCTTGCTCGAATAATGTGATGAAAAAATGCGTCGGCGTGTTGCCAGCTTGTGTAACAAAGGGACGGTGGACGCGTCGGCGCTGTGGTGGTACGTCAAACGAATCTAGGCAACGTAGAGGTGTGGATGAATTAGAACGTCAGTTGGGTACTACGCCACATTCCCACACACTTCCAACGATTCCACTTGATTAGTTAAACTGCGATCGGTTGTTACAAAACACAGCGGAGGCGATGAAGCGCGCGTGCGACACATTGTTCGCCGCGATTCAACCCGATGATGCATCGGAATTAGGCGGCGCACCTTTTAACCCTACCGGCGGCGCATTCCGCCACACAAAGGCATTGCGCCATCGGCAACCATTTACGACATAACATGGCATCGAATAGCCGTGCGATCGCCACACTTGGAGAAACGAGAAGAGAAAGCAGAGATGTCTTGCTTTCTCCGCTGCTCACCTGAATTCCGTAGCATCCAGCGACGGCTTTTTTCTGCTTTCTTTTCTCTAACAACGCCGTTAATCCGTAAATCCCAGGGCACACAACATGGAGCGCACGCGCACACACCTCACCACACCTGAGCACTACACTTCCGTCAACACAAACCCCTTCGCGGAGGGCCGGTCACTATTCACCGAACAAAGGCCGTCACTCACGCTTTTTCCCACATGCCGCCATTGGCTTTGTTGCCGCGCCAGCCGCGCCTCCTTCGGGCGTCGCGCCACTAGTAAAGCTTCGTTTATCGCCAACTGTGACATTTACGCCTGCCGTTTACCAAAAGCTAGGTATTTAAAGTTGGTCCTGTCATCTAGACTAATTTATTACAACAAGTTTAACAATTATTTTGAAACAAACTTATTACACATGTTTTGTTTTGTTGTTGACAGATGTCGCCACAATCGGTTTGTTTTCAACTTTGGGTTTATAAATGGGTTGTTTTGTAGTTAGTGTAGCAATTGGCGGGGCAACTATCCTACTTAATTTACCGATAATTATTTGTTCATATAATACCTTACAGAGCATTTTTATGCACTGATTTTAACGTCGCTTGAGTTCTTTGAACCAATTTGCGATCTATTTTAGAATAGCAAAGCGCCAGTCGCCGATTAATAAGTAGCGCTGCTAGTCGCGACAGCGCCTGAGAACGAGAGTTTCGTGCATGGTGATAGCCGGCGTGGTGACGTTGCGCAGCGAAGGATTTGTTTTGGGCTTGGATCTTCCACTCAAATTTCGAGGTTCGTAGTCGTGCAAAGGCTTCATTGGTGTTGAGTGTGTGTGATGATCGATCTGTTTGTATCCCTGTCTCAATCGCCTGTTGCCAATCGAAGAAGTTTCGTTAGACGGTGAAGAGGGTTGCTGTGTTGGCGACACGTCGACCGGTGCTTCGCTGGCGTCCATCTCATTTCTTCGATCAGCATTTAACTGTATCTGTGTGAATGTTTTGAACTTAGATCTGGATCCTACTTTTGTCTGTGTAGTGTGTGTGCGTGCTTGTGATCAGTTGAGGGTGTGTTTGTCTTGTCAATCGTTGGGGGCATATCTACAGCGGCGGTTTCACAAATTCCTGGTGTCTTAAGAGCTTTATTGCCTTACCTAACTTCACTGCAGAAAACTGAACATGCTTACCAATACTGTTCATACGGCACCAATGGTTTAATCCTAAAAACTAACAGTTAGCAGTATCAATCGGCCTACTTGAGCGGTGTAACACGAAACACAGCATTGTTATGTAATGATGCATCTACTCAGAATCACGCGCTTGTTGTTCGTGAACGAAACGTGCTAAATATTTCAAGGCATCATCGTCTTCTGTAGTTTTTATCCCTTGTTTATTCGAATCGTCTTGGAATTGATCCAGAGTTTTTTGCAAGGTGGGAGCGAAAACTCTAATACGATCTTGTTTAACTATTCGGGACAACCAGTTCGTTAAGCCAAGCAAATTGCGCGAGCATCGCTTCCCACAGTGCGTTTTCCGCAGAATAGAAGATTTTACGTTGTAGCGTGCATTTCATATGCCAGTCTGCATTCCAGTGAAAATGCTAACTTGATCAAACTTGATCCATAACTTCTTCACGTCCTACACCTTGCGTCCTCAAATTTCATCATTTGTTATGGCTACATGTTTTTATATGTAAATGTGTCATGAACGACGGCTTTTTGTTATTGTTTTTGATTCCTACGTGGCATATCGGTGCGTAAATAAAACGCACAATTCGTGCTCTAATTCACTGAATATATGCTGTGCTTACAGTGAACTAGAAGTACTCTGTTAGGCCCGTTCCTTATCGTAAGACATAATTAGCACACGTCAGCAGGGCACTTTCTCAATGTTCGCTTTTGCAGAGACATTTTCAAGCGTACAATCAAGTGTGCTCTTTCTATACTCCATCATGACTTCCGACTTCATGTGGTATCACGAAAGTGCCGCACTTTCATTAATCTGTTGTGTATGTCGTGAGTTCTCTCTCGTCAAGGCATTTTTCTTGGTTTCTTGACTGCCATGAAGAAGTAAAGTAATAACATAAAATTATTTGTGCAGAAAAGAATAACTTGACGTAGTGAAGTATGTGGACACATGTTCTAGCTGCTCGTCACTTGTGCTAGGCAAGTACAAAATGACCTTTCTGGATACATGATGCGTGACGTAGCGGTACGTTCTTGGTTTTAGAGATAGGTCATCAATATACAAGCTGCAGGTTTTAAGGAATATCTTGTTCTTGTGTAACATAAATATCTACTACGCATTCACTAATGCTCTCGTTTTACATAACTCAGTGTCTTTGTTGGTACCCTATATGATGCATTATATTTACTAAACCTAATAAATATTGTATTGTGCATCGAATGCCGTCTTACATTTCTAACACTTCGTGCAGGTCACCATGATCACCGACATTCAACTGGCTGTCTTTGCGAATGCCCTTGGGGTATCCTTGTTTCTCCTGGTGGTTCTGTACCACTACCTCTCTGTAAACAACCCAAAGAAGGCTGATTAGGTATGTCTTTACTGTCGTGTTTCCGTTGCAGCTTGCACACAATTGGCAATGTCACGTGACATTCTGTACACATTGCCGCCAAGTCTGTAGCCTGGCTCTTGCAAAGCCATGCCCTACACTGCTTATGGCGAATTCCATTGGAGAAAAAAAAAAAAGCATTTAAAAGCGCTCTTACAGTTCTCTCTTCAGAGCCGGCAAGTTTCAGTGATTGAACATGAGTATGTGTACAGTCATCCAGTGGTAGAACGAGAGTGCTTTTGCTGCTATATTAGCATTGCTTGTACGGGGATGACGGCTATGAAGTATACGCAGCTACACTTACCTGATGCATCGCTGCACACGGAACGTAATACGTAACTGCGAATTAGGATAATGGCAGACATGTGGCTGACAGATTTCACACATATTGTTCTGCTGCACCACAGAAAATGCTGGGGCCTCGGGACTTTTTGATCCCGTGGAATATTTATCGTCACTCTCTCACCTGCTCTCCCGAAGCGTGATGCATTCCAGTCGCAGATGGAGTTGCCCTGCTCACAGTGCTCTGCACCCAGCTCCTCACTATTTGGTGCACCTGCTCCTGTTCTGTCAATGAAACTTGCTAAGTGATAATGCAATTAACTTGGGGTATATTGGCTGTCACAGCATCGTTGAAATTAATTTTAGCTGTTGTAATAATTTTATTAAACCTATCCATTCTAATTAATTCTTCTTGGCCACATTGTGTTGCAAACAGTAGCCTTAACTTTACCTTCCGTCCTGGGTATCTGACTGCATGTACTAGATTTAAGCATTGGAGTGCATACTTATATCTATCGTTATTCGTTGGTTGTCCTAAAGCGACTCTGAAGGCAACTATTAAGTCGATGTTGATTGTTGAAATACCAATCCGGAAACCTCGCAGCTTTATTTTTGTGCCAAGGAAGTGCTTATTTTGAAAAAAAAAAAAAAGTCGTGTTTTAGTGGTTCGCATCGGGATAGTGCACTTCTAATTGCCTGCCTCTGGTGCCTGTCACATCACTGTTGCCATGCACAACGTTGCCCGGCTTCACTGCGCAGCTGCCGACACTAGGAGCAGCAGAACGAAAGTAGCATGAGCCACAACAGCAACAATGGCCATAGAACAATTTCCTGCCATGGCCTGCGAGATGGCAGGCCAGCGTGGACAGGCGTGTTTTGTTGAACTGAGCCCCGCTAGATGGCACAACCTGTCCAGGTTAACCAGGCAGAAAATTGAACTTTTGGACCACTCGCGCCATTTATTTATTTATTTACAGTACATTACAGAGCCCTCGAGGGGCATTGTGTAAGGGGGGTGGTACAGATAATATGTTAGAAAAATACATATACATAATATCTACACATACATAGGCAAATAATGAATATAATAGAAAATGCAGTTCTACTTATGAAAATGTAAGCAAAATACAAACTAGAAAAGTGAGATACAGTATGTGAAGGTGAAATACAAAAAAAAACTATTATGACAGTAACTACAACCTAGCAATAGTGCAAAAACATCGGCAACAGTCCTATAAACACTGATGATTACGAAGATGCGATAGAGCAGTTTTTGGTGCATAAGTATTTTTTAAGAGTATGATAGAACTTTGTGTGGTCTTGTTCTGACGCAAGATCATCTGGCAAATCGTTCCACAAACCAATAGCTTGTGGAAGAGCCGACTGGTTGAAAGCGTTAGTATTGCCATACATGCGTGATAAGCTAAACATGTATGTAGTCTGCTCGAAGTTCGATGTGCTAGATTAAGGTGAACAGATGGCATCATGCTGGTGTGGATGAGTTTGTGAAATAGTGATAAAAGTGGGATGTCGCGGCTCGAGTGCAAGGCTATGTTTAATCTGTGTTACGCACTATGAATCGACTAGCTCTGTTCTGTATACATTCTAACTTATCTATGAGGTATTGTTGATATGGTGACCAAATGGAGGATGCGAACTCCAGTTGAGGACGGATTAGAGCAAGATAAGCCAGTTTGCACACACCGGAGGGAGCACTGTGTAAATTTCGACACAGAAAACCTAATGATCTTGATGTGTTGGCACAGATAGAAGTGATATGTGTGGACCACGAAAGTGTAGAAGTGTAGAAGGACCACGAAGCAGGCTCACCTCTAGGAGCTGCGCCCGTCAGTTTTCCGAGGACTGGTGGTAGGAGGGTGAGGGGGAGCGACGTCGGTTAGTTGAGCAGGACATGCGTCCACAGGGCGACGGGGAGCGGCTAAATAGAACCATCACAGACATGCTCGCCATGTACGTTTCTTACGACCATTGTGACTGGGACTCCGCCCTTCCATTTGTAACATTTGCCTATAATACGTCTCGGTATGACACTGCAGGTTTCTCGCCATTTTTCCTCCTGTACGGACGAAAACCTACATTGCCTTTCGACACGCTCCTTCCTGCCGTTAGCCACACGTCAGAATATGCTCGCGTTGTGATTTCTAGAGCTCTAGAGGCACGTGAGATCGCTCGCCGGCGTCTGAGCGATTCGCAGGAACGACGACAGGTCTACAACGCGTGCCATCGTGATGTCTACTTCAGTCTAGGTGACACACTCCTTCTCTGGACGCCGTCGCGCGAGTTGGCCTGTGCGAAAAGCTCACTTCACCGTACTCGGGTCCGTACCGTGTGGTGCGCCAAGTCACCGACGTGACATATGAAATTCAACCTCTTAACGCCACCAGCACGCGATCGTGTTCTGACGTTGTTCACGTCACGAGGCTGAAGCGATATTACTCGGACCAACCGAGCACCGAGACGGTGTCTTCGCCACTGGGGGTGTTGCTACGGGGCGCCACAAACGAACGTAGAAAAGAGGACGATGTTTAGGGCGAGCTCGTGCTGACTAGGCTCCATATTGTGTGCCTGCCTGTTTACCAAAAGTAAGGGTATTTTTCAGACGCCTTCTCCCCGTAACAATATTCCTTATAGTATTACTTATATTAACTTGGAAAGGATTGTGATGAATCGAACAGAAACAAACAAGCAGCATTTTATTAAGTCTTTTGATGCAAGGAAGGTTCTTTACTCAGTGCAGCTAGTTCGATTACTAGGGATTAATTGTAGGCGGTACCTTTTAAGTCATCGGGATCACTTTTCGCATGTCCTACGTGAAGCACATCTGTTCTTGTGTATTTGCCTTAATTTCTCGGTAAGTAGGGCGCTGCTGTTGATAGTATTGTTTAATGGTTGTGATGCATTGAGCTTTTACTCTGACATAATTATTATTTGGCTTTAGTGTCCCTTTAAATGTTTGTTTAAAGAGCTCTATGAAATGAGGAGGAAAGATTGTGCATTAGTGATGATGACAGTGAGAACACATTAATTGCCTAATATATGCAGCTGCCTAGCAGATCTAGTGTATTTTTTCATGCTATGTTCTTTCTACTGCGCTCTGAGTTTTTACCAATTAACATCAGTAATTGTCAATAATTGAAGTGCAAAGCCATACTGACATATGTAAAGTGCTATGAGATATTGAGGGGGAAGTGGCCGCTCATAGGCTTTCTTGCATTGCCTTACCAATAATAAAGTTGTTTTTTTTTTTTGTTAGTTCATTTTTCAACCAGTTACAATTCTGTCCTTTAGCATCCATGAGATACATGTGTAATTCTTGTTTTCCAGGGGATAATGTGTGCTGGTGTGCGTTCATCTGGGCTGTGCCTGCATCTGCTTTGACTTGATTTCTTCATGGAGGGAAACCCACCAGACTTCAACTAACCATACGAGCGTGTGTGCTGTAAATAAATGATGTGCACTGTTTCCAGACCTGCCTGTCTCAGTTGTACAATGCCTTGTTAAGTCCAAGGGAATTAGAGAGTACACACTGATCAGGAAATTGTTTGAGCCTGTGGTATGATAACAGAAATTACTAGCTTACAAAAAAAAAATGTTTAAGAATTGTAAACATGGCTGTAGAGATTACCACTACAGTCTTTTTCGTAGTTGGCATGCACATGCTGCATTTCCTGCACTCCGTAATCAGTCGATTAGGCTTATTAAGATAAAATGGCACATTAATTAGCCTTATAGAATACCACCCTATTGGGCAAAGTCTCTTAGCAAACATTGTTGCCTTTGAAAACATTTGCAGCTCTCTAGGCCATGGTTTATGTGCAGGGGTTATGTATTGCCAGTCTCAATAGAAACGTATGCGAAATAAAGTTGCCCAACGGTCGTGTGTCGAGAGTTATTCGTTGATGTGAAAACACTCCTTGCATTTGCACTGCCTCGTACAGTCATCTTCGCAGGATGACCTACATTGCTCGTGTGATGAAACAGGTTTGTTTTTCTTTTTTTAATGTGGCACATTTTGTTTTGGCGAAAGCTCGGGAATGCGCGATGGGGGAGAATGGAAAGGAGAGGTGATTCTTTCAGAACGACTGCTTACACCAGTAAGCATGAGGTCGGCTGACCTCCCTTCTCAATAAAAAAAGCGGTGGATGCCTGGCGGCGGCACTGGGAATCGAACCCATTACCTCTCGCATCGGAGGCGGACGTCGAATCGTGTTGAACATCACGAAGAACACAGGCTCGATTGTCCCTCATCACTACCCCCCCCCCCCCCCACACACACACACGAAAGGAAAGAAAACAACTTTTCTTAGGCGTCAGAACTTTTCGTGGACAATTTATACAACTTCCGGCGTACGATTTTCAGGACGGCGCCGGCCGACGAAAGCGTCTCTCGGCGCGTTATTCATCATCATCGACGCCGATTCGCAATTTCTTCGCACGTGCCCAACCGAAAGGGAAGCGCCGAAGTTGAAGATCCTCCACTGGTTATGCGTCTGACACGAAGGATGCTTAAAGACTGGAAATCATTTGTGGTGACTTTCGGCATGGCTCTTCTGGCCATCCTCGGGTAAGTATGCGAGCACAATTTCACACCTTCAACAGATGGGGTATTGCGTTCTCCACTACGTCACGATCGGCCCTGCCATACACGACAACACCGATTTGATTGGGGGCGTTCGAGATGCAGACCACCATTTTGCTAGGCACAGATCGCTATTCAGGGGGCTAGTCACATAGGGGGGGGGGGGGGGGGCACAGTCTGCCTTGTACGTTGACTTAATAGGGAGCGGGTCGTTGCGACGATGAACCTCATCGCAGCACCAGTCTTGTCTTATTCACCAGGCTGAAATTTAAGCAAGTCGGTCATAGCCGTTGTGCTGTCGTATAGCTATCTGTCGGCAAAGAAAACAGTGATTTGGGCGATTTAGATGCTTAGGGGGGTAAACAGCGCACGATAGACAAGAGCGAAGAGCCCTGATGTATACTTAAAACTGAAACTTCAACAACCAGCAGCGCACAACAGCACGTCGCATTTTCGATTTAAAAGGTGTCACGTCGAAAAGAGTCTAGAAAGCAGTCCATGTGCACTGCCATTCAATGTTGAAAGTTGAAAGTTGAAATTTTATTTCACCACAACGATACACCGTGATTTCACACAAACAAGAAACAATTGTGGCATGGAAAGTAGGAAAAAAGCTGCGCTATAGCAGCTTGACTAGCCCCACCTCCCATTTGTACAAGGCAACAGAAACAATGGCACATCCATTGTACGTTGTTCCCAATTAGCACGTTGTTCTTAATTAACTACGCCGCGCTGTCGTGAGTGCAGCATCATCGCGTCGAGCAAGCACTCGCCGAGGCCGTCGGTGGCCACGCAACCTCAGCGGGACGTGTTCTTCCTGAAGACGCACAAGACGGCCGGCTCGTCGGTGCTCAACCTGCTGCTCCGCAGAGCCGACGGCGAGGGCCTCAACCTGGCGCTCCCGAAGGAGGCCACCAGCCACATGATGGGCTACCCGCAGCCCTTCTCGCCGCGCGAGCACATGCTCAACTACTCGCAGTGCGGGCTGCGGCCGAATCTCATGGCGCTGCACATGCGATTCAACGAGACCGGCGTCAAGGAGGTGCGTAAACGTTTCGAAACAATGCTAAACTGCCTGATCGCCAAAGCAGGAGTTATGCAAGGACGAGGAGAGATGAAGTAAAATCGGAGCTTAGTCATGTATCTTGCCCGACTACGCCCACTACAAGGCAAAGGCCTCTCATGTTCCGCCAACCAACCCGGCCGGTGCTGTGCTTGCTGTATAGTATACATATAGTGTCAGGTATTATGCATCAGATATAATCTCAACGACAGCATAGCATAGCAAAATGTGGGAAGCGAGACTGAGAAGCGATGTGACGATGAGGAGGGGGAGGTGAAAAGGTGACCGTGAGGAGTGTGGAATGGAGGAGGGAGAGAGTGTGAAGCACAAATTCGTAAGTTGTTTCCAAATTTGCAGCTCATTCTACAGACGTGCGCATGATGGGGCAGCTCCCCTCTCCAATAATCTAAAAGGGATGCCCAATTCCGCACCGTGTCATGTGGCCGCGCATGTTTTATTTCTTGTTTTCAGCTATTATGTCGATCAAAGACGTGTTTACTTGCAACTTTTGTAAAACTCTGACAAACCGGAGACAAAGAGCAGGCTTTTGGGCGAAGCTTGACATCACTTCGTTTGCACTTTCGCGTCCATTGCGGGGCTCGTTTTTTTAAGAACTCAACAAACGAAGGTGGGGGGGGGGGGGGGGGGATGAGAGAGCTCTATTCCTCAAGGGAAACCCTGTGCTCACTTCATAATCATTATCAGCCTGACTACGTCCACTGCAGGACAAAGACCTCTCCCATGTTCCGCCAGTCAACTCGGTCCTGTGCTTGCTCCTGCCAATTTATACCCACAAACTTCTTAATCTCATCTGCCCACCTAACCTTCTGTCTTCCCCTAACCCGCTTGCCTTCTCTGGGAATCCAGTTAGTTACCCCTAATGACCAGCGGTTATACTGTCTACGCGCTACATGCCCGGCCCATGTCCATTTCCTCTTCTAGATTTCAACTATGATATCCTTGACCCCCGTTTGTTCCCTAATCAACTCTGCTCTCTTCTTGTCTCTTAAAGTTACACCTACTATTTTCTTTCCATTGCTTGCTGCATCGTCCTCAATTTAAGCTGAACCTTCTTTGTAAGTCTCCAGGTTTCTGCTCCATAGCAAAGTACCAGCACAGCAAGGTGCAGCTGTTATATACCTTCCTCCTGAGAGATAGTGGCAATCTACCTGTCATGATTTGAGAGTGCTTGCCAAATGTGCTCCACCCCATTCTTATTCTTCTAGTTGCTTCAATGGTGGTTCGGCTCCGTGGTTATTACCTGCGCTAAGTAGACATAGTCTTTTACAACTTGAAGTGCACTATTACCTATCTCGAAGCGCTGCCCTCTTCCGAGGTTGTTGTACATTATACTTTCGTTTTCTGCAGATTAATTTTAGGACCCACATTTCTGCTCTCCTCGTCTAACTCCGTAATCCTGAGTTGGAATTCGTCCCCCGAGTTACTACCAATGCAATGTCATTGACGAAGCGCAGGTTACTAAGGCACTCACTTATGATTCGTTAATTTCGCACTTTGCAATCACCAAGCGACCCCAGAAGTTTTACTGTGACGTAACTTCGTCCTGCTCAGGTGATGCCCGCCGACACCGTGTACGTGACGATACTGCGACGGCCGACGGACGCCTTCGCCTCGCTGTTCTACTACTTCGAGCTGCACAACGTTTACGACGCCAACCTGACCGCCTTTCTCAAGCAGCCATTTTTCGTGCAGGTGCGACAACATCGACCCTCTGACAGCACGAATAGACGAAGTGCCGAGAGAGGGGACAAAGTACGATCGCTGATTTATGAACGAAGATTTTGTTTTGAGGCGAAAGCCTTCCTAATTAAAATAGAAAAAGAGAACCATCGACGTCAGCACGAACAACAACAACCAAAAAAAACATTACGTGACGATGCCACAGGACACCAAATATCAAAGTAGCGAGAACAGTGAAACGTCAAAGTAGTGAAAGCATATGCTCTCGCAAGTTTCGTACCTAAGATGCTAGGCCTCACTCTGGAACAGTAAGATATGTCCAGCTTTAATGCTCCTACATAGAACAGCACCGAAGCCTGAGCCAGGGTCAACGGCATAGGCGAGCGAACTCATGAGTTGACTGACTTGGACTCGCTCAGACTCACATGGAGCTCTAAGTCTGAGTGAGTCCCGGCGACTGGTACTTTTGGGAGTTTTAGTTAGAGAGAGTCCAATTGAAAAAAATGAGTGTGAATCCGAGTTAGTCCAACTCGGAAAATGTTGGTCCACGCGAGTCCAAAACACAACGACATGTTCCATTTGCTGACCTATAGTCGACGGTTTACGTGATTAAGAAAGCTTCCAACCCAGGGCGCTGCTTTTCGCCTCATATTAATGTTTTTTTTTTTTTTCGCTCTCTCGGTTCATCCTCAGACGGTGCGCAATTCGCGTCTGCACGGGTCTCTGGGCTTCAACCAGATGGCGTTCGACCTCGGCGTCGACGGAGACGACATGGCGGACCGCGGCAGTGTCGAAGAAATCTCCCGGTTCGTGGAGTCCGTGGATCGGACCTTCCACCTCGTCATGATCGCCGAACGGTTCACCGAGTCACTGGTGCTGCTACGCGACCTGCTCGGCTGGCAGCTGGACGACGTGGTCACCTTCAAGCACAACATGCGCCTCAAACGATACCCGAGGCCCGACGAAGAAGCTGTCAGGTGCGGAGAAACCGCTTAGCTCACCGATTTTAGAAGCCGAGTTTACTCCACCGTAAAAATATGTATACTGTACACAAGGACGGCTGTGGATCAGGTGTCATCATCACCAGGCTGATTGCGCCCCACGTTTCGCCGATAAGCGTGGCCCTGTAATTGCCGTGGCCACACAACGCAAACTTTTCAACCTCATCTGTCCACCTAACTTAGTCTCCCCTTCGTGCATTCGCCGTCTCTAGGAATCCGGCCTGTTACTGTTCAAGACCGGCGGTTATCTTGCCTACGCGCTACATGCCCTCTGTATGCCCATTCATTCAACTTGATTTGGACGAAGAGGATCTAAATAGCTGTTTATTTCCCAAATGCACGTAAGATTATATTTTATTTTGAAATATTATTGTCAGCTTTTGCATGACGCACCTGCTTACATGACGATTGTTATAGCGCGAACTCAGAACGACGACAAAAGGACAAGAAGACGTGCGCTGTCCTCTTTTGTCGTGACATGACTTTAGAGGACATGACGCTATAACAATCGTTATGTCCTAGTAACTAGCCCAAACCGCTACGCTTCTGAGATTAGAGTGTGAATTCTGGTGACTCCTCCTCCCTCCCCCCCCCGCTCCAGAATGGCTTATTGTGTCAAACATCAAAATCACTCAAAAATGCCGCTTACACTTCGGCAGCGGAGCAGAGTGGCCGCAGAAACAGCTTTCGCGAGCACGGGAAGAGAAGCCCATCCTGTGTCGTGACGTCAGGGTACAGTAAAAAACGAAGCTAGCTTTTAAAAACCTTCAACGATTATTTTTACAGGATACAGAAATGAGGTCATCGAAGTTGCGTCGATACCATCCGTATTTGTATGCGCCGTTTTCTGACAAGTCATGCTGTCTCGATCGTGGGCTTGTCGGCTATCAGCCGTTCCCCGATACGGAAATCTGGTATTTTATCGAGGTGTCTTGTCATTTCACTGTTGCCTGAATGTGAACGCACGATCGTCGTTGTTGGCTCTAGCAAATGAAGAGTTGCGCAGCTAAGTATGTGAATGAAGGTCCGATTCCCAGCATGAAGGAAGGAAACAGTGAAGAGGGAGCATTGCGCAACGAGTTAGCTAGATAGATAGATAGGCAGAAAGAAACGAAAAGAGGAAAAGAAAGAAAAAGAGTAGGGCAGGCACGCACACGCCAAGTTTCGCTTGCCTCTATATTGTTCCTAAATTCGAAACCAATTCAGGAAGCGTTCCTAAATTTTTTTAAAAACCTGACTAGAACAGACCAACTAACCCAGCCGCACACTTTGTTAACGTGTGGAAGAAAGCACAGGAGCCAGTTGGGAAAAGGGACGGAGAGGGAAAGTTGGACGAATGATCACCCCTTTCCCAAATGGATCCACAAAAATCGAAGTGTTTCCTTCTCTCCACGCCCCTTCCAAGCCAATAACTTTGAGACTATTGATTAATTTGTGGGGTTTAACGTCCCAAATCCACTATATGATTATGAGAGACGCCATAGTGGAGGGCTCCAGAAATTTTGACCACCTGGGGTTCGTTAACGTGCACCCAAATATGAGCACACGGGCCTGCGACATTTCCGCCTCCATCGGAAATGCAGCCGGGATTCAATCCCACGACCTGCGGGTCGGCAGCCGAGTACCTTAGCCACTAGACCACCGCGGCGGGGCAATTTTGAGACTAGGCATATTACCGGGGGAGTCAATTCTACGCATGCGTGTGACTTGAGCGCACCTTGCATAGGCAACACATTAAACACCCCATCACCAATCATCCTTTCTAAATATAATGTCCATTACCCCCCCCCCCCCCCCCTCACTCCCCCAGCTCTTCCAAATTATTGCAGGCCAACATATCCAACCTCACCCACACCCGTAAAAGACCGGCACTCATGGACCCATCTCCGCATCCTAGTAAAACTTCTCCAAAATCGAATTTCGATAATACTCACTTTTTGTAAGTGTACAAAATCACAAATAGGAGCACTAATTAACCAGGACGATATTCTCGTCAGCATAATAAAAACATAGTGCCGATTTCTTTCAAACCTTCGCTCCACGAAGAGGTCGATGACAACGTTATCCTTTTATAATCATTCTTTTAAGAGTAGGACTGTTCTAGCGGGAGGGATCTAGAAGTACGCTAATCTCAAATTTAAACGTTGACTCGCTAATTTATTAGTGCAGTGACATGCAGTCACGCTTTTCACTCGTAATTCAAGGGTGGCCGTTTTAGTCAACACCATGCGATTACCATGGCCCAGATTTTATGCGCAACGAGTTCGAAATTGTGAAACTAGTGCGACAGCTTGTTCATTTGTACACCAGAAAGCTTTCACCAGAGCCGTACCCGTGAATCCTTAGCGTGCGATATTGTGCATTGAAGTTCAGTACAGTCAGCTTATCATAGCACTGCTTTGACGGTGCTGCGTTGGCAGGGGTTCTGTTGAAACCTCGACGCAAGTGACAAGCACAAAGCGGGCTTTGCCGTACGACGTGTCTTGCTGCGGAAAAGCTCACCCGAATAGCCTATGAAAGAGGGCTTTGCCCCTCAAAGAGTGCTATTGCAGTGAAGCCCAATTTTACTAAAGGAGTGACTCTACCCGCTGGGGTGCCAGACAGTCTGACAAACTGTGCAAACTCTTGGGCTTCGACAATTTCTTCGAACGTGTTGTGGATTCCCAACTTCAGCTGCCCAGCGACGTAAGATCCAAGATCCAGATTGCGCGGATGCCGCGCAATATGCATCCAACCTACAACGAAGCACGAAGACGAGCCAGGGGTAAATCTCTGCTCGCCAGTGCCCGCTTGGACAAGGATCGAGCCTGCTTCGTCGATGCTGCTTCGTACATTCAAGAAGAAGCCTTCTCCTCAGTGGTCGTCGACTGTGATTGCAGAGTCATCAGCTGCGCTACCATCCGCACTTCTAGTTCCAGCGTTGCAGAGCAGGTTGCCATTGCTCTTGCATTGACGGACGGTGTACATGACACAATTTATTCAGACTCCAAGGCCGCTATCAAGGCCTTCCAGATGGGCATGGTGGCTCCCCAGGTCCTACAGATTATTCAAAAAGTCAAAGACCTCAAAAATCACTCATTGGTCTGGTTTCCTGCGCATCTTGGAACCATTGAGGGTGCCTCGCTCAATCCCAACGAGGAGGCGCACTCGGCTGCACGAGGTTTGACTGACCGTGTGCCGGGTAACGCGTCATCTCCTGGGCGACCTGAGCCTCTCTGCTCGTACAACGAGATATGCAAGCACCACTATCTGTCACGAAGACTGCTGCCTCTACCACACTCCTCGCTATGCAGGGCCCAAGCTGTTACTCTCCGACTGCTACAAACAAACACTTACCCGAGTCCTGCGGCACTGCACAAAATGTACCCTGAACGGTTTCCAAGCCCGGACTGCCCCCTGTGTGGTGGTTATGCGGACTTCGAACATGTACTGTGGGGCTGCGCCTCTGCCGGTCCCCCTTTCACCCAAGAGGAAATGAAGCGACTCATCAAGGCCCAGGACCAGACCTCTCAAATCCTGGCCGTCCAGAGGGCCCGCGCGAGGGCCGTCAGGTTTAACCTAATGGTCCCCGAGTGGGCCTAGCCAGGTGACGCTGAGTTTACTCGCGTCTATTGTGGACCAAATAAAGTTGTTTCACTCACTCACTAAAGGAGTGATGCGTTAGATTGAGCATATAAGGATATTTCCTTTGAATCTGACCTACTGCCTTCGGCGATAGTTACAAAGAATTCCACTTTAGCGCGATTCGTGGTAAAACACTCAAGAAATATGAAAAGCTAATGGCCCGTCCCGTTTTTGTTTTTCTGCGAAGCACCGAAAAAAAAAAACGCAATATGTTATGCAAGAACGAACGACTTGGGCCTATAAAACTGTTATAACTTTGACTGCCATGTGGCATAACAAGCATGATTGGTTTTTTTTTTCAAATTATAAAGGTTAACAAATGATTACCCTGCTGGCGTAGGGATAACCAAAGGGTCTTCCCCCACCGCCCTTTACAGAACGATACACAGGCCTACATACAAAAAAAAAAAGTGCTCTGAAAACTAAAGCCTCTTCTCTAGAGCTGCTTTATGATGAGTTACTTTCAAGCGCTATCTAAAAAAATACAAATTTTATTCAAATCGTGAAAAGAACATTCGATCCTGGATGAGGCATATTAAAGCTCGTTCACACCTGCGACAAGTACCGGACGCGCGACCATTTGGGACTGCAGACCAAAAAGCGACGCAAGGAGACCGATGTGCGAACTTGCGCGGTACAAACTCATGGCCTAGCAGAATTCACGACTGCTCGCAAATGGCCCGCATTTCCATCGTCCCGTAAGTTAAGCGGACGTCGTCTTCCAGAGCCAACGATGGGTTCAGAGGTCACGCGATTGTAGTCGCCTGCCTGAAAAGACGATCAGCAAGCGGCTGTGCCAAGTCATTTGCGACCATTTGCGTCAAGCCGCGGGTCAGAACGAGCATTAAGGCTTTCGCCTTAACATGTGTCCTTGCATACATGTGTCCTTGCATAACATGTGTCCTTGCATAACATGTGTCCTTGCATAACATGTGTCCTTGCATACGTCACTGTGGTCTGATCGGCCTCGCGCAGTATCCTGGAGAAGGCGAACCGGGTGGACGAGGCGCTGTACAGGCACTTCGCGGCCAAACTGGACCGCAAGGTGGAGGAGTTCGGCCGCAGCCGTATGGAGGCCGAGGCGGCTGCGCTGGAGAGCCGCACGGCGTTCTGGTACAGGCGGTGCGTCGACTCCATCCGGGTGTCCAAGGTGGCCGTGATCGAGTACTCGCCGCTCACGAACGTCTCCGAGGCCGAGCGACACATGTGCAGGCTCCTCACCACGCCCGAACAGGCGTTCGTCAAGGAGGCTCGCCAGCGACTTTTCGCGCTCTGCCCCCAGGTGTCGCCACCTACGACCACCACGGCGACGCCGGCGCGCAGGGCGAGATAAAAAAAACGAACGAAATAAATGCGCGATTACTTTCACAAACGAAACGGTCATATCGAGCTATACTCGCTGTTCATTTCGCTTGGTTTCATTGTAGCCCGGAATTTTTCATAAATAAAGTGTAAAATGTCTCAGAATACCGAGCGAGCGGCCCCACCCCCTTGGAGGAGGGGGTATAATCACACGCAAGATTTATAAAAAGGTGACCTTGCTCGAAGATGGCAGCGCAAGATTAGCTAAGCGCTTCTAATGACAGAACTTATCGAATACGCATGTATTTAGCGTTTCTACTGAACTGGGGGATATCTCGCGTGAATTTCACACGGAGGGAATCTCGCGTGGTATGACAGAGGGGGAAGAAATTGCATCATTCAAATGTTTCAACCATTTGTGACTACTCGAAATGCAACACGAGGCACTGCACTGTAAAACTGAGAAATCAAATCTAAACACTACCAGAACTTTTCTGGGAACCACGGCTGCAGGATTCTTTATCGGAGGAGAGGTTAAAAAATGGCAGGAGGCTGCGGTGGGCGCTTCAACGGACAGTGTCACACATTTCAAACGTCCCGAAAACGGGAAGGAGACGCTTGCTCGGGTTCTTACAGAGGAGGCGTCATTTTGCTGCCTCCAAGCTGTGTTCTCACGACGGACGAAATCGCGATTCGAGCTTGCCTACTACGTCACCATACGCCAGCCGTTCGCGCGTCCCCGCTTCGGTCCGGGCGGAGCGATTCGCGAAAAGCCGGAATTCCGAATCATGGTTGGGATCATCGGGAAGCAATGCTGAAATCCTCGCTTGTAGCGCGAGTCCTCCCCCGTTGTGTGAATGCTGGATGCGGAATGGTCACATGCCACGTGACTGATTCGTCCGCGATCACGTCCGTCGTGTGAATACATATTCACGGAACTGCTCAACACATACGGTGAGGAGATTTAAGGCTCGTTCTCGCAGCCGTAAAACGACCAGTTCCGTCACCACGACGTCACCGGTTTTTGTCAAGGAAGAGGATTTCCATCCCGTTTTCTCTTCAAAAACGGGGTGACTGTGACGCAGAGCGATGCTCGGGTACGGAGCCCCACTCCTCATCGTACCAGGGCCGGCTTCCCCTCGGCGCACCTGACGAACAGAAGAAATCGCGGAGAGCACACAAGAACGCGGGGATAGAACGACTAGGTGTTCGCATGGACACGGAGAAAGGAATTATCGTGTACAAAAATGTGCTGCTGTCGGCCTTGCAACCACCGTCGTCTGTCCGTACACAGCTCCACCGCGTAATCTCTGCGTTTCTTTTTGTAGACGTCACATAACGCGACAGGTCATTTGACGGCTGTGAGAACGAGGCCATAGAGAACCGCTCTACGTTACAGTCACCCCGTTTTCGAATAGAAAACGGGTCGGACATCCTCTTCCCCGACAAAAACCGGTGACGAGACTGTTCGGTTAACGGCTGTGAGAACGAGCCCTGAGAGGTCAATAAAGAGCTGGAGCACAGCGTCGTGATGTGCACGCCAGCGACATCTGGAGGCAGGAGCGTCCGGCACAGAAGATACGCAGTCAGGCTACACTGCTTTGCCTCCTCACCCCGTTTTTTCGACGAGGGATACGCTACGCGATTCGAAAGCATTGGTCGCGGACGATCGAAGAGTGCTTCTAAATGCGTTTGCCTCGGCTACGGCGATGGAAAACGAAGCAGCTGCCTCACTCCAGCTCCCGGCACCATCCTGGGCGGAGCCACCTGGCTGAGCTGGCGGGGCCTCCGGTCCCGTCCAGTCTCAGCCGATTTTGGACCAAAATAAAATTCTCACTCACTCGCTCCCTTCAAGGCATGCAACACTTCTGCCCCCTCTCCCATTTTTTTACCCGAGTTCCTACAGTAAACAAACTCGAATGCACTCTGACAAGAAAACATAGGCATGGCTTGATGTAAGCACTTGGCTTAAACAACTAACATACTTCTAAGAAAAAGAAAAAAAACTAGCTAGTTGTCAGAGTCTGCGCATTTTAGCAGAGTGCCAAGGTGACCAAGCCTTAGGGTAAATGTCTGACAATTACCGAAGACGCGCAATTTTCTTCTGATGATGACCTACCTTTAGTTTTACAGTTTTATAATTTTACACAATTAGACATTATGCACTATTAAAGCAGTTGCATACAGCAGAGAAAGTTTTCTTTTCTACCCCTATGTCTACTTTACTATTATACAATTGCCTTGGTGTTATTTAGTATTTTCCATTTTTGAAACTGCATATTAGCCCTTTATTGAAGACTTTGCATGTTTGTTTCTGCATTACATGTGAGTACCTTGGATAATGACTAAAGCTTTCCCTTTACCATTATCATGTTGCATTTTGTGGAGCTCATGAACACTAGAGACGTAAACAGGAGAGATTCCACGGCCTATGATGACCATGATAGGCCTTGTGTTTTGCGACAGCATCATGTAGCCTTTGTATTGTGTTCTGCTCCAGCACAGTTCCAAGAAAGACATCATCACAAGCCTCGATATAAAGAATGATCAGTTGTAAAGAATTTTCAGATAAACCGAACGGATCTTTGTGCCGGATATGTTAATTTATCATTAAGAGGCCTGCCAAACCTGGGGCACAAAAGCAAATGGTACGTGCTCAGATAAGCGTTACGCACAACCACAAGAACCTTGTGGCTAGGCCCCGACACTTTGCCCCTTATTTGAACTTGTGATCAAACAAGACGTGCATCTTTATAAACAACAATATTCTTTATTAAAAACAACGTAAGTTACGACATCAGCCGGCAGCACTTGCATCTCTGTCCAGCCATTGCCTGCATATGCAGCAACGTGGCATGTCCAACGTCCAAAAAAGACCACTTAAATGCAAGCACATCACCACCACGGCCGAGACAGGAAAAATACGTCTTCATACGAACTAGAAAAACTCGTTAACGGCAAAGCAGTTAGTATACACTCCAGAACAAATCTAAGTGCAACAATCAATGTTGCCTGCATCGAACAATGCCATCCGCCTCAATGCATTGGCCAGCTGTGAAAAACAGAAGCCGAACAGCATCGATGCTCCAGCCTTACAAATGCCGCTTGCAGATTTCTGCACAGAAATAAAATGCAAGTGCCAATCTGGTAACATTCGTAACAGCACAGTCTGAAAGAATTGTTGCATGCAGCACTATTTTTAAATGGGGGTATGCGACATATGTTAGAAGATACGAGCTGCAAGAATGCAATTATTCTTGGTGCATGTGCAGAAGGCTGCTAGACAATCGTGCATAATATACTTAAACAATAGTTCCAGTGACATAGCAAGCAACATGATTGTGCCTAAAGTAAACACAAAAACGACTGTGCCTGTTCACAGGGTCTGGAAAAAACACGCCAGCCTAAGTAGCACATGCTATGTACATGAACGAAATGTTGACACAATGTTAACAACTGTCAACATAAGGCTCGTAAAAAATGAACGGCCTCCCCTTGTGTCTCTTAGAAGACACACTGGGCTTTTCGATGCTTAAAAAAAGTACAGAAAAAAAAGGTATATATATAGAAATACCGGCATTATACTTCAGATTCTGTTGTGATCTTATAGAATGTGCAATCTCTTGCCTTCTATATATATAAAAGTTACAATACTTGTCTGAGCATGAGCATGCAATAAAACATTACACGTTTCACTTCCGAAAAAACTGTGCGACCTTAAAAACCGAGTGCTTTTGCCGAAGCGGCAGTGCGACAGGTGCACACACGAAAATGAAACACTGAAAAAATTGCAACTATCAGTCCTAAGAGAGGCATGTCATACCTATAAAATGCGTTGCAGGCGCCGCCTATACGTAACAAATTGAGCATCGAGCGAACATTTGTGCCAAGTTGTGTCGACAATTACACACACACACACACACAGTATGCACACACGTACAAAATTACCACGTACTCAGTTTCCTATGTAGCTCAACACTTAATCCACTCAGCAAGGATACAAGATACGGCGAATGCCGAGGAGATGCATACATTTTTGGAGAGTACATTTGTATGAAATATCTATACATGAAATGACCCGCACTCGAACTCACAGATGTGCGTGAATAGCGTAGCGGCCTTGGAAAACACTGCAGCGCTCGAGATAAGAATGCCATCATGTGCTACTTGAAAATGACTCATTTTGAAAGCACTGCCATGATAACTGGCAGATTGGTCAGCAAGTTATCAATACTTAATGTTAAGCAAAGTGTCAATGTAACTTCATTATGTGTTCCCAATATCCAATGAAGAATAATCATTAAGTAAGTTAACCAGAAGGTGCCCAAGGCACTAGAAAATAGATTCTGTTCTATTTTCCACCAAAATCACATAAAATCGTCTTCAATGTGCAAATACTCGAAATAGTTCAACGCAATGCACTGAATTGGGAATGATTCATTCAAATGTTCCACACCACACCAATAGAACCAACAACTGGGCGACATAACAAGTATTCATAACTAGTACTAAACGGCACCACAAACCTAACGAATGCGCTGGGAAGCACACAAGCACTGAAAAATTGTTGCTTCGTTGACTTTCTTGAGTATTCGTCTAGCTTCATGGTGCTGTTCGGAGATTGTGTGTCACGTCAATAAACCCAGTTTCAGAGTGGTGGAGGTGCTGGGTAACTCAACCTGGAACTCCACAACAGGAAACTACCCTGCCATCTCAGAAACGGCTGACGAAAACATTCAGCCCCACCACTCTGAAATGGGGTTGTTTGGCGTAAGTAGCACTTGCACAGGTCTATTGATACTGAAAGCGGGGGCGCAATCGACACAGGAATCACAGTGCTAGGGCCAACAGCTCGCGCTCTGCTCCTCTCGCTAAGGTCGTGAATCACTGCGCCACATAATCTTCTTCTGCTCAACACTAGGTTTATGTTCGAAGTGCAAACAGCACACCTCTCAAAGAATGAGCTTTGCGCAAGCATACTTCGCACTTAACAGGACAAAGAGGAGGCCATCACAGTTAGGACCATGTACGCATCCACAGCGAGTAAATTAAAAATGCTGCAAGACTATGTATCTATTTTTATGGCCCCTACCCCAAGTTCATCTTGAACACTGCAGTGTTTTCCCTGTTTTAGTACCAACCAGCTGAACAGTCAGCACTCCTTCATGACCTCGACCATAGAACTAGCAGTCACTCAGTCGAACATACTTTGTGCTCTTTCAATGGTGCTTTTCTCCGGCGAATTATTATGAGACCAGGAATTATTGACATGACTTCAGCAGTATTTGTGCAGGGTACCTCTATATGAAGCCAAAGTACACAGATGCTTAATTATTTCGTCTACAGAAGCGATGTGCATTGCAAGTTATCATTCGTTACACAATGAGAAGAAAAAGTGTACGCACAAATTATCACAATACATGGAGTGATGATAAGACAGAGCCTCCCCTGCAGTAGAGTAAATGTACTTAAAAAAAAAAAGATTACATGAGCTAACAAAGATTCCACCAAAATCACATAAAATCATCATCGATGTGCAAATACTCGAAATAGTTCAGAACGATCCCCCATAAACACAGATTTTGCACAACAGTTACAAAAAAAAAGTGAGAGCGGTATAGGCTATACAATAACCATGCAACACCACCGCCAACAAAAGTTACCGACGCGTTGTTGCAAATCGCTAAGAAAAACAAATATACAATGGGGAAACCAGAATGACTAGCATCTTATAAATAAAACAAAAGAAAAAATAATAGAGGCTTCGGACTGTGGCAACAAAACTGAGAAGAGCTCAAGAACTCTGCTAAATCAAAGAATGTGGAAAGTCCAAAGGCCACGAATGACTGAACGATTAACCACGGCGACATCGTCAGATTCTTGAAACCTCATATTAAGTGTACTCTTGCAAACACTCAATCAGGCCTGACAAAAATTTGTTTTTTCTAAGCTAAATAGTCACAACTGCTCACGTCGGATGGTAATGACAATATAATACACAGAAATAACACACATATAAGCAGCAAACACATACATTTGTGTAAGTTTAGCACTGTTAATCTGAGCATGCACAAAGAGCTGTATTGAGCTTTACAATGTATACAGCATTAGCAGGCAGTAGACCATTGTCAAATCAAAATCTGCCACCAGAAACTATGCATAGCTTATGAATAGCAGTCATCATACACACGATCAATTGCCGTTAGTTACAATGCAATGAGGTTTACTAGGTAATGGTACGAATGATTAACCACTTCGAAGTCTGACCAAATGCTTTTAAAAACCCGCCTCTTTCTAAATAGCTAGAATAACATGCAATACAGTCATTATATGAGACCGCAGCCAAAACAAAATGAGCTTTCATTTTCACATTAAATTACAAGTACGCTGAGACACGAAGTGATGAAATCGAAGTCTTTTTTATCCTCTCGCAATGACAATGATGTCTCGTTTGATGTTTCATAATGTTTCAATGATGAAACATCATAACTTGATGATGTTTCAAATACTGAAGTGGCTTTTATCATGTGAATTATAGAAACTGAAGTAACTCCATCATACCTTTTCACTGTGTATACACGGAGCATGAAAATTTACCAAGTCACGATTGGTGCTTAGGGCTTGCCAACTCAATGCACCGCCTCTAGTAATATTAACTAGCAGGGTTTATATTCACACGAAAGTGAAACTGAACGGGCGAATGTTTCTGTATTCCACTTGCATCTAAAAACAACTTCACCAGCAGAGAATCGAACCCTTAACCTTAGGCTTTGCAACAGAATGATACGTATGCACTCAGTCATTGTGGCGGGCGAAAAAAGAACTCTATTATCGACAGATATATGGCATGTAAAAGTAAAGTGCCTTCCACTTAGCCTAAACTGCACTCAGAGGGTTGAGTTGTCAATGTACTACCGTGGACATAGCCTTTCTTTCCGCACGCTCACATTAGTAAAAGCCTCACGCATCACTGACCTTGCAACGATACAGCCAACTTTTCTCACAACCCAACCACCTTCACGACGTCTTTCCAAAAATAGCACCTCTCGATACATGCCTATAGTATGTGCAATGGCAAAACCCTGGTTGCGAAATGGCCGCCACAAAGTGGGTGGGCCAGGCGTGATGTTCAGGCAGAAAAAAACAATTGCCTCGACAGAATGAGTGGTTTGGCAGTATTTTGCTTTGCAATGCGCTTCATCTACAGAGAGTTTCGCGGAAGACATTTTGTATTCTCTACAAGTGGAAAAGGAGATTACTTAAGTGCTTGATGCAACACTTTGTCGGGCATAAGCATTACATACTCCCATTATAGAGATTTATATGTACGACTTTTCTGCAAAGCAAAACGGTGCGCCCTAACAATTTGGATTTGGAGTAAAAAAATCCAAGCTAGTTTAGAGGAGACAGCAATCAGGGTTTGGGATGCAAAGAAGCTTAGTGGCCTTGTGTTACGCTAAGATGCTAAATCTGAACACGCTTTAGTAAATTACTACTTCTACGATACTTCATAAAGCTTAGATGCTCGCCTGAATGCCACCGTCAAACATTACCGTAGGCAGTCCAATTTTGTAAATTTTACAGGTTAAGGAAAGAACACAAATCCTGTGCAAAGTGAAATAAAATTTCCAGACTAACAACACAGGAATGCATTGAATATCCTTAACTGCATATGAAACACTAGGGCAATAAACATTCACGTTACGTGGCAGCCGCTACCGTAAAGCTTTAACGAGGTGTTGCATGTGCAGTTAATACCACTATCATTTTGCGCAGCTCGAGGAGATCCACCCTGTTTTGTATTATGACTAACCCTGTTGCACCACTACGCGAGAGCCACCTATGGGTCCTACCATCAAGCTACAAAAATCAATGTCGTCAGTAACACAACACTTGCGACAGATCCAGGCTTCCCTGCATTCCAATTCTAGAGACAATGTCACAACAGCGCCTTCTGCATCGTTCTGCATGTTGAGGTTTCTTTTACACGGTAAAAATTCATGAACAGTACTTCGTCAATTGTTTTCAAACAACTTGCAAGAATGTGCTCATTCTAATCTTTGTAGTAGAAAATGAGTGGAGGTACAGTTTCTCAGATACCTTGATAAAAAAAAATGCGAAAGTTGTGCGCCGCAACGCATTTGGTGACTGAAATTGTACGTAAGAGTAATCTTTTGTCATCTAAGAGGCATGAAACTCCATGTTTAAAGGCGAGGTGCGATTTATTTTCAGATTATACAGTACTCGCAAATCGTGAAAGTGCGTTACTAATCTCACAGCTGTCGTAACTTGAAAGTCGTGGGTCGTTGGCATGTTGCACCTCCCACTGCGTTGTTCGAAAGCCCAGGTGAAAGAACAATAATAATTATCTGGAAACTCAGTCTCTGTTCCGCCTAAGTATGTACATATCTGATCCCGTACGCCGCACATTAGTACATATAAGTTGGCTTGCCCCCCACTGAAAATTCGATCTGGGGCTTTGAAGCACGTGGCCCAAGTGTAGAAGCTTTTAAAACGCGTCCTAAAAATTATTTCCGTGTATGAAATTCTTCGAGGCTCCTAGGCTTTCCCACAGCAGCAGTCATGTAGCTAGCGTAGGTATAGTATCTTCAGTTTTCCAGGATTACAGCAGAACTGGGTCTTCAGAGCCATATGACAATCTACAGCGTGGTTAAAAAGACACGACAGTAGACTGCAACTACATAGGTTGCAGTTCTGATAAATCCCACTGCTAGGGTACGTGGTCATGTGACTGTGAGAGATCCTACAGTTTGGCATTAGTTTTCATCATCAACGACAGTGTATACTATTCAGTTATGATCAGGAGGAGCATGAACACATGGGAGAGAGCCTAACTCCCAACCAGCACTAGCAATGAGACTGAAAAGTTTCTGATTAATGCAAGTAGAAAATTTTAGATCGTAAACACACGAAAATGTGAAAAGAAAGACATCCCGATTTCTAATGTGTATATGCACTACAATTTAAAACTATACTAATGAGCGTTTGCACATCAGAAAAATTCTTAATGGGGGCACGAGAATGGCCGACCTTTTTTAGCCCTCTTTCAAGTTTAATCTCGACTGCTTCACTAGCGACGTTGCAACAGGCCATCTACCATGTGTGCGTGTGTTGTGTAGTGACAAAGGCACGTGACAGTACAAACACAAATTGCAGACACCGGCGTTTGTGCTACCAGCCAAGATGTCGCAACGCTTCACCTGTACATACGCTCGAGTCTTGAAGGCATCCTAGAAAGTCTTCCAAATAGTCTAGATATAAGAATTGCGAACCCTTACACCATTTTGCAGCTGTAATAGATAGAAAATGACACGCCGAATGTCAAACACAGCCTATGCACGAGATGAATGCTTACGGCTGATGTACGGTGATAGGCAAGATAAATTGCAACGAAAGAAACGGGCTGACCAGTTCAAGCAGCAGGGACAGAGAAAGAACACACAGGATAAGGCAACAACGTAAACTTTCAACGTAAAAATGAAAGCTATATTGAAAGGTTTCCCACAGAGCGAACCTCAAGATCAAATCTGTGGAAACACGAAAACAGTGCTAGAGAAGTTACAAAACTAAAGTAAGCTAAGAGACCACTACCCAAAGGTTGTTATTTGAAGGACTCAAAGCAAAAACTACTGACTGAGCACTCTGTGGAGGTAAAGGATACAATGACGATAATGTTTATTCTACCTCTAACTCGAAAGCAAGGTCTTACATAAAACCACGTGAAATGCTGTAAAAGGCAAAACAAACTAAAAATTTAGTCACAGGGGACACAGCTAATACAGCCCAAGTCAATCACTAAAAGCCGTGAACATCATACAGGTTCTAGAGAAGTGCTTAAACAATGTCGACAAATAAAAGATCTCAGTTTGTCGTCCAAAAAAAATCTGTGAAAGCTTCGGTTTCTACGATGGAAAGATCTTGTTGTTGCCTACCTGCGTCTTTCTCACTCTCAAACACATTGCGAGGTTCACCAGTTTCTTCCCGGTACATCACATCATGTCCAACATAAAATTCAACGCCGTTGTGACCGACAAACAAACAAAATTTTAAGTGGTCCAGCTCACTTTCGTCGACCAAGTCGCGCTCTTTTTCATGTTGCTGACAAGAACACAAATCACAGGTGCTATTAAAGAGAAACAAGCGTCGTGCATAGCACGGCGCGGCCCTTCGCTGTAGCACAGAAGTGACGAGCGAGGTCGACTGGAAAGCAACGTTTAAAATTGAACACTCGAGAGATGACTACCGCAGCGCAGTCCAAGTCAGGCCAGCAAACCTTTGATGTTGCGCGGCGTCGTTTCGTCGTTCAGGTGACGTGTTGTGTACCTGAAGCGTCGGAAACGTCAGTAAGATTTTGCAGCGAATCTGATAACATCCGAACAAACTTCAGAAGATTCGATAAAACATGCAACCATTCACTACAAAAGCGTGAATTTACTCGACCGGCATTGCCGATACCCCTTCAGTCTTATTTGTAGCCCTCAAATTCGGCAGAGAGCATTTCTTCTGAACAAAAACCATAAATGAACATATTTAACTTGTGTCAAGAGAAGCTGACCTTTTGAAAAATTCCCATGTCACAAGATACTTGCTGCATGAATGATAAGTAAAATTCTGCTTATAGTTACTCCTGTGAGCTAACAGTTGCAAATAATGATCTCTCATCATATTGACTTTGTATAAGCTGAAAGCACCTTGAAAGCACCTGCATAGTGTTTTCAAGATCATATAGCAGTGCCAATGATGCCATGTTGTTGACTTTAAGGAGTACGGACAGAACACTTGAACATCGCAAAAGGGACTGTCACTTATTTCGTTGGCATTAAGTGTTAACGTTCTCCACACTCCATAATTGGAAAACACGTATGAAGTATTTACAAAAATATTTTACTTTGACATTAATGTTTTTGTCGGTGTGCATCTATCTGCAAACTAGCCCCTACCGCAATGGACATTATCCTGACTTGCTAACACAGTTCTGCTGAGTTTGCAAACTCAGTCTTACATGCAGCCTATTTTGCAGAAATCACTGCCGGGGTTGCTTGGTGACAATTCGTTTAGTTTACATCTACTACTATAAGCACATGACAAATATGCCGCTAGTACTCTGGGACTTGCCGTTTACTCGAGACGTCGTACTGCAATGACAGGACACTGCCGCTTGCGTTTCGCTATTGCTTGACATCAAACCGAGTTTCTTTTCAAAGTAGTGGTATTAGGCGTATATTTGATGCATCCCTGACACTGCACTACTTTGTTTTAGGGTTGACACCAGTGCTTATCAAGTGCAAACCCCGAAAACATTTAAAATTAATGTCACTAATCTTTTAAGGAACAAAAAAAAAACGATGTAAAGAAAGTGCCATCATGGAAATTCACCGATTACGCAATCAACAATGACAAAAGCCCACTGTGCTTGTGAAGTTTGTGTAGTGGCAGAAAACTAGAAAGCTCGCGTCTGAAAGCGGAAAAGCTTTTAAATTTGTGAACGAGGTAGCAAATGCAATAATGAAAATGCCTTTCTGGACAGGAAGTTCAATGTGCACTCCACAAGGATGCGATCGCACATTCTATGCACAGAGTGCACGCTGCCGGCCTAGGGGCCGGAGTCGCGCCGGTGTGAAGGTTAGTCCGACACTAAAGCAACCGCGCCCTTCCTCTTCACTCGGAGAGCCCGCCAAGCCGGCGCAGCGCTGCCGTGATTTTTCTTCTTTTTTCCCCTTGCTTCAGTTAATAAAAAAGGGCGTCGAATTGCAATCGTGCAAATATGGTACAGAACTACTACTGATCCCAGCGACCGACCTGAGGGTGTGCGCCTATTTCGGGAGTAAATACGGTATTTTCAAGTGTGGAAACACGGCATGATCGCACCATTACACCTGCATATACACTTTACCAATGCTCGCACAATAAAGTCCACACCGAGCCCATTTGTACTTTTACGGACAGCTGCAGAAAGAACTAATGACGATTGCCAATCGAGCTCACCTTAGTGCATTCAGGAGTCCCTCGACAACATTCGGTGGCTGTTCCTTGAGGACCCTAATTGACCGTTTGACCTGAAAACGGAGAGAAATTTGTTTCCTATAGATACACTTCCAGAGATATACAGGAGCTACATGTTCACAGCATTTTAGCTGTTTAAGTACAGGTTGCAGCAGTCCCCATTCAAATGGTTAGGTTGTAATGCTGAACACACTGATGCGAAGGCTAAGTTAAAGAACTAAATATCTGGCAATTTTCGTTCATAGCCAAGCCAAGAACACGTTTAGTACCAATGGTAGCGGTAAGCACAACAGCAGAAATCTGATCTGGGAGTCAAATGCCTCCGCATCACATACACATGTTGTCAACACGTTCCAGTGTAATCACTGGTGCTGACACACTGTTGCCAAGCCAGTGAAACGCGGTGACTGAAAAACCAACAAGCACACGCAGTCAAAATGAAGCCGTAGTGTTCACCGCACAAAAGGAAGGTAAGTGTTTCGAGTGAGGTTTCACTGCATAAAGCATGTTCACTTTTTTCACGATTGTAAAATCGGGGGTTCTTGCGCAGGAGAAGTAACTTGGAATGCATAAGCTTAGTACTAAACTGTGATGGTGTGCCACACGGCGGCAGCACTGTGAACTGGCAAAGCACTGCACGAACAGCTGAAGCCCAAAAACGCTGATGCGAAAAGCCAAGCTTGTAGGGATTACGTGTCTAAGGCAACTCGGGATGTTAAAACTCCTTATTATCGGAGCCTTGAAGACTCAATAAGAAACAAAATACTGGATCGTGACACAAGTTGACAAGAGCAATAGATTGACGTCAATCGGTATCATTTGTAAATACCAGCTGGTAGAAAATTAGGGGCCTAAAATGTATTGGCGGGCTAGTAGGTAAAACATTACAACATATGGCAGCAGACACCAGGTTACATAAATAACATGCACACTATAGCGGACGACACAAGCGCCGAGTCGTCCCTCTGTGTCCAAGTTATCAGTGTAACCCGGTGTGCATTGCCATATGCTGTAATTACGGGGAAAGAAAGAGTGGGCAACTCACATCAATATGAGACGTCTTGGTGAAAGCTCCCTGGGGGTGAACGTGGTCGTACAGTATGATCACGCCCACCATCACCCGCAGCACAAACAGGATGGTCTCCTCATTCTTGAATCTCGAACAAATTTCCTCTGCGCAAGAAATCAGAACCGTCAGGACTGTGGCGTTAGCTGGCTTGCGGTACCGCTATCAATCCAGCTACAATGAAGTGTCAGCTTTTGCAAGGATAAGAATCTTGGTTGAGACACTGGCCTAGTGTGACCATCCTGACTGTGTATGAAACTCTGACGTCAGTGAGGCCACAGCAACGGAGGTTTCTGTGATGTTAATGTTTCTAGGCTGCCTCCTCAAAATCAACAAGAGACAAAATGCTGCCTTAGCATGTTCTCCGACGTTGGTAACAAGATCTAGGATCATGCTTGTGGCCAAATCAATATAACACCCATAATGTTCTCAATATTAATGAAGTGTTACAGGCATTTGTTATCTATTACTCAAGCCATGTTGCATAACTTTCATAGAGGTTAATGACCTGAAATCTGCTGATGTTTTCAATGTTGATTTGACATTTCATTTGCACAATGATCATTTAGTCCTGGTTAATATACCTATATTTTTGTGTAATCATTACTTGAACTGCACATTGTGCTCCCATATACTTATGCCCTACTGCGACATGTCACTTGACACTGCTGTTCTGCTTTATTATGCTCTAATACTGTAACATTCTGCATCCTTTCATCGTGCACATAATCTTGTTCGCTGCAGTCTGTGAACAAAGCAGGAGCTTCTGTCAGGCCTTAGTGCCTTTTGGTCTTGCCACTGCTTTTGTAACGTTGGAGAACAAAAAGTCTTTTTTCTAGTAGGTGCTGGCAAAACCAACAAGATTAGCTGACACAGAACAGGCAGGTGTCGCACTCGAGAAGATTCCAAGCAGCAACAACAACAACAGTAATGATAATACAGTCGAGCCCACATATAACAACCCCACTTAAAACGCACTTCAGCTAAAAACGAACAATATCCTCGTGACCGTCAAAATATACATTGGTTCAATGGCACAAAATCGCACTTACAACGAGCGTCTCCGAGCACCGCTGATCGGTTACAGCGAACGGAGTCAGCGGTCTGCCGACTTCCCGGGAAACCAATTTCGACTACCGATCAGACATCGACGAGGTGCCCATACATTTTTATTGTTAAACGCTGATTCTGCCTCCACGTCCCTCTAGTTGCTGCTCTCCCCGACCGCCTTTTGTTACGCACCCCTCCGTCCTTTGTCCCCTTGCTACTCTGAGCACCCCGCATCGCCAGACGAGGCCCGTGTTTTCACACTGCCACCGATATTTTGAAGACCGGTCGGCCACATACCCTGTTTTTGATCGCTGGTACTGTCGTTGGCGTCACCGGCCTGGATTGACCAGACAATTCGCCAACATCGTCGGCCACCAACTGTGTTGTATCCGATAGTCTGCGTCTAGTGCACGCGCGTATGCTACCCCATTGACTCTGATAATTTGCGATTCGTTTCGTATTCAGGACTTGTTCTCGCTCACTTTGCACTCAACTCAGCCTGCCTTTCGTGCGCGCCCAGAAGCGTGAAAACGGCTGTTAATTTGCGCAGAACGAATCGCAAAATATCGAAGTTCGTGAGGCCACGCGAACCCGCTGGCGCAACAAAACGATTTTTTGATCACGGCCGCCGATTCTTCGAACGTTGCCACGTGCACCGAACGAGGTGGCCATACTTTGACTTTTGCGCGCGCTGGCACTCTTTTCCAAGTTTTTCTATGCGAGAGTTTCGCGGACCTTTCAAGCAAGCTACCCAACCTGCCTCCTTCTCATGTGTTTCGGTTTTCAAGGTCCCCCTCCCGCCGCATCCTCCCCTTTCCTTATCGCACGGAGGAAGGAATCTTTCATTCCTCTGCGCTTTATCGCAACTCCTTGCCCTTTTCTCGCAAGTCTGCTCTCCTTTCTTGATCACAACCCCTTTGCCCGCCTCCACCGCTCCGCGACGCCCGCCACGCTGGCTCGAATTAGTTTCGTTTTCCGACAGGAAATGCGCCCAGAGCTGTTCCACGCGTGTGCGCGTCTTGCTCGCTCTTGGTGTGCGTGTGTGGTCATAATGGCCGACGGGAAGACTAGCACGCCTTTTCGTGCCGCTCAACAAAACGTCAAAAGTGTGACCGCTTGGCTTGAGCGTAATCCGCGTGTTAGGTGCCCCGTTGCGGAGCGCTTGCTCATAGCTGTTGACCACCTGGCAGCCAACTTGCCGCTTCGGGCGTCCCGGTATTCAGCTGTGGAGATGGTGAATATTTCGTGGGTGGCGGTGACGGCTACATGTGCGCGAAACTATTTTCGCAAGGCCGACTTCGTTGATCGTCGGGCCCGATGCCGAGCCTGAAGCTTCGGAACAGGACCACTGCGGCGGCGATTTGTGGCAGCGCGTTGTCGACTCCGACTTGGGAGAGCGGGTGGGACATCTGTTGCGTTGGTTTAATTACGGCTGATGATGATGCCGACACTGCGGAATCGTACACGGATTGGAGCATTGTGAATGAAGTACGTGGCGAGAGCGATTTGGAGGAATCGGATTGCGAGAACGACGAAGCTTTGGAGTCAGCGCCTCATGCAGTTTATGCCACAGGCCTCGGCGAACGAGCAGCCTGCCGTTTTAAATGAACTCGAGACCCCCTTATCGTTTCTGCTCTTCGAAACACGTGCATCACGGCATTTTTGGGGCAAAAAAAGTGTGTTTTCACTCGCAACTTTTTTTTAAAAGCTGTGTTTCATTTACTACGAACTTCGGGATACAGCGAACGGATGCTGCGTCACGCTAAGGTTCGTTATAAGCAGGCTCGACTGTAATAATTATAATATCTAGGGTACGTCCCAAAATCCTAACATGATTATGAAAGATGCCGCGAAAAATTCTGACCATCTGGTGTTTTCAACATGCACCGAGATGGCCTCCTCATTCTTGAATCTCGAACAAATTTTTCTGCACAAGAAAGCAGATTCGCCCCACAGTACATGGGCCTCCAGTGTTTCGTTTTCATCAAAATGCCATCACGGCAGCTGGGAATCAACCACACATCCAACATTCTTGCTTAATGCACTTAGAAGCGAGACTGGAATCTGGTCACTTTTAAAAGGTCTTTTCTGGCTGTTTATTGCTCCAGTTCTTTAGCCTACCATATCCTTGTTGCTTCTGATGCAGGCCGAGGCTAGCTCACATTCAACAATTTTGAAACCACCCACCTGTTGTCGACCATCCTCTGGCAAACCTTGGCCATGGTCCCCAGGGTCTCAGTGGTGTTCTCAATGGGCAGGTCCTTGTTTTCGGCGACAAAGCGCGTCGTTGCATCGCTGAGCACCTTCAGCATGGGCGTTGCGTGTGCGTAGAACAGCGACATGTGGTTCGCAAGCTCGTTGGGAACCTCCAGACCATCCTCTATGTTTTCCTGCATTTCGTTTAAAACACGCGCAAGAAAGAAACATGGTTGGACGAACCAATGAATGGCAAAGACGTGCTCGTTTTTTTTTTTACTCAAAAACAGTTTTGAATAAAGACAGCAGCATCATATGTGAATGAAGGCTTAGCACGAAACCAGGAGGGCAAATGTGTAGTTAAAAATCAGTCAGACTGTCTTAAAAAGGCTGTCAAAGTCGCAGGACACAGGATAGCAACATACTCTATATCTATTTGTTAATGCTATGGGGAGCATGCCCAGTTAAAAAAAGTATTGACAACAATTAGGTTTTTCAATGAAAATCAATCGGAACCAATAGGAACCAATTAGAATCCCTTTACTCCCGATTGGGTCACAGGACAAACCAACTGGATTTGCCAATTGGAATGAAGTGGGCCAATTAGCACCAATGGGGAAATTTTTTGCTTTCAATTGATTATAGTAGAGCCAAATTGAAACAAATTCAGATCTCCCATTGGTTCAGATTGCCTCCTATCGGGTTAGCCATTACGAATCAACTAAGCCCACATTGCATACTTCCCCAACCGAGTTAAATTTAGGCTACCACCTGAAACAAACTATTAATAAACAATTTACTTTGTAACTTGCTCCTAAACCTTTTCATTAATTTCTTTATCCACGGCCATTACCCTTATCGCCTATCTGCTGTTACTGTGTCAAGAAAACCTTGTAAAATAGACATCTGCTCCATTGCACGCGTCCCCTGAAGTACAGAAACCACCGCCTGTCACTGTTCCACTCCCGAAGCAATCTGCACAGGAGCCGAAGCTCCCCGACACAGAATGCAACTTGCAGTTTACAAGTTTGGCTTGAACTCGTAAGCTGGCATATTTAGTTCTTGCTGGGTTTTGTGTAAGTTTGCGATTGCTATTTTTTTTACAGGCCGACTTTAGGAGTGGTTTTAAAGTATCGATGTCGGCCTGGCGCAGGCAGAGTCCTTCAATATTTTGGCCGCTGATTCAAAACAGCTGTAAGGACTTGTGTTCGTAAAGGGCCTATTTACGATTGTGTAGAGTTCGGCAGACTTGCTTGGACGATCTCAGCAAGGTAACTACAGTCAAGAAATCTTTTGTGGCTTGTTCTAATCTGTTCTATAAGCACCTTTTCAATTTTTTTTCTTTATTACACTTTGCAGAAAAGCATTGTCTGCGCGGTTTCCCGACCGTCAGAGGAAGGAGCCGCTGTTGCTATGAAAAGTGTCGGTCACACGCGGCAAGTGAAGGTACTAAGTCATCACGTCTAATACGCATTCACCAAGTTTGGCCAACGAAACTTTATATTATTTGCTTGTGTGTATATTTTTACTTTTGTTTGACAGAATGATAAAAGGAGCGACTAGAAAAAAAAATGACTGATTACTGAAATGATGCCTGGGGCTTTCAAACAGATGAAGTGCTTCATCATGGAGAAGCTGAGTGACATAGAAAGGATGTCCAAAAGGTTTGGAAGCTGCTCAATTGCATTGTAACATTTAAGGTGTAAGGTATAAATTTGCACAGAAATTATTTTGCCAGTGCATGTAGCTTCTGGCGTATGTCCTACATTACTCATGTACAACAGCCCACTGAAATTGTCTGCAATTACCTTTACAGTATTTAGAGACCACCAGTTAGATAATTGTCTACACTTTTGTCATTAAAGAGCTTTTTCCATGTTATACAAAGTACATTGCACACACATTCAGTTTGTGATTTTATTCCTTTGATGTTTCTATTAGAGCGGCCAAGAACTGCCACCATGAGGACTTCTGGAGAACCTACAGCGTCAGAGTGCAATAAAGTTGTGCTTTTTTTTTTGTACCCCATAAATTTCCTGTTTTGTTGCCAATTGCTATTGCACATTGGTGCGGCCAAGGAGCTGCCACCACGAGGCTGTTTGGCCAATTGGTTACTGCAATCAATTGGTACCCATTGACTACCAATTGGTCTGTCCTAAAACCAAATTGGTTGCCTTTTAATAGGTCTGGTTATTGAAATGATGCCTGGGGCTTTCAAACAGATGATATTTATAATTAGATGGTTCTAATTATAAATATTCCAATTGGAGTCAATGTTTTTTTACTAGGTGGGGTTTACGATTGGCAGCCTCCACAATCATCCCACATTGCAAACCAATGGAAAAACAAGCTAGGTTAGTTGGTTGACAACTATCATGGCGTCTGGCACGCTTAAAAGATCTCATTTACAGCAAAACCTCCATAAAATGAAGTGTCATTTTATTGCTTTTCCTCCACAACACACCACGTTTTTATTGAAGGTAATGAGGTGTGTTTATCCCCGACTACAATATAGTAATGAATATAAAAGTTTTGCGAAGAGGCATTGTACACTGGTATAAAGATTGGTGCACTACGTCAATGACTTCAATTACGTATCGGCCCATTTCTTTAATTTAGACAGCTGTTTATGCAACGTGGAAAGAGGGATAGAGAAAAAGCTGCCCCTCTAAAGATAGCTTGTAGAGTGCATAATGCCTAATCACTTGCCACGTGCACATTTGTACTCTGTGCCTTCTCACCTATCCATGGTGATAAAGGCAAATCATCAGTGCCATCAGATAAGCACCAGGTATCTTAAGCACCTTATCACCACACACCCTGTGTTTGCTGTAGTTCACAGTCGCCAGACTGACACGCTCACCTGGTTTGCCAGCCGTAACCTGCTAACCGTCCTGCGGTAGTAGCTGAAGTCATTTTGGATTGCTGGGTTTGTCATCTGCGACAAAAGGCAAGGCATCAGCTTTCCAGTTCACGTTTTTGAGTTATCGAGTGTGAACATATTGAAGCAATTCGCGAGCCTATAAGAAGCTGTAGCAGTAAAATCAGCGTGTTTAACATCCACTGAAAGCTTCAGAAACCTGTCATCAGAATATTACATGAAAAGATGAGCTACCGTAGCTGTCATGTGAATTTTTGCGCCAAGAAATGCGCCAAATTAGCCCCGCAAGAAGCTAAATAGTGAGTGAGTGATCAAACTATTTAACCAGCGGATTGAGGCGTGGGACTAAGCCGCGCCAGGGGCGGCGGAGAGACCCTGTCTCTCAGCGTAACGGCGTCCTGTATCTGTGTGCATTCCCATCACATATGCTCTAGGGTGGCGCGTCTCATGCTACATAGCTTACAAGAGTCATCTGCGTATAGTTCGGGGTAGATGCGATTTAGGTACTTCGGGTTGCGAAACGGTCTAGTTTGAAGTCGCCTCCATTCAACCTCCTGAGATCTGTCTAATGTGGAGCTAGGTGGTGGAAATCTGCGCCTCGACTTTTGGTAGAATTGGATAATGTCGCAGAACCTAAACATTCTGTCCCTCCCCCACCACTCCCCTCCTCCCAGTACCTCATGTGAAGCTCCATCGCGAGTGCGGTAAGTGAGACCTCGCGCTACGCGATGAGCCTCCTCGTTGAGGTTGGGAATGAGGGACGCACACGGGGTGTGGGCTGGGAACCATATAATATAGCTTTCTTCAAATTCCTCGGATGATATATGCTGCCTCGGGAGATATTCTTCCTCGTGCATAGTTACGGATTGCCGACTGAGAGTCGCTGATGACATACCTACACTTTGGGGAAATTATGGCCTGTGCAATAGCCACCTCTTCTGCGATTTCTGAATTATCAGAGCGTATGGAGCAGTTACGCATTTGCGGTCGGTGTTTATTACTGCCGCAACGTAGGATTTGTGACTAGGGTACTCCGCTGCGTCTACGAACAACGCCTGCTTGTCTCCGCCGTAGGCCTTAAGTAGAGTGCTAGCGCGGCTTTCTCTTCTGCCATGATTAAGTTCGGGGTGCATGTTTTTGGGCAGATTGGGGACCTGGATCTTACCTGATCACTTAACCGACACTTTACTTCCTTGTTGGCTATTGTAATTTATCCCGGACTTGTCAAGGATACTCCGTCCTGTGCGCGTGCTAGCTAGTCTCTCCAACTGGGCAATCTGTTGCACTTTTATCAGCTCCTCTAAAGTGTTATGTAAGCCCAGTTGAAGCAGTTTTTCGTTGCTGGTGCTATCGGGAAGGCCTAAAGCTTGTTTGTACGCCTTTCGTATGAGTGCGTTGATTTTGAGTTTTTCGGCTGTATACCAGTTTAGATATGCCGCTACGTATATAATATGACTTATGGCAAATGAATAAATAAGCCTAATGACGTTAGCCTCTTTCATGCCCTGGTGTTTGCGACTCTCTTGATTAGCTGTATTGCGTTGGTGACTTTGGTTACTAATCTCTTGACGGTTTCACCATTTGTACCCTTAGACTCGATGACGAGTCCAAGGACTGATTTGTTGCGCTATAGGAATAGTCTTGCCGTTTTTGGTGTGAATTTGAATCTCATCGTAAGCACGGTCCCGGTTGTATCCCTTGGGTGGTCTGCCTTTAAGCGTGGGGCGATAGAGGAGAAGTTCGGATTTATCTGGCGAACACTCGAGGCCAGTACCTTCAAGATACTCCTCAATAGTGGCGACGGCCTCCTGTAATCTCTGCTCTATCTCTCCGTCACTACCTTCACACGCCCAGATGGTAATATCATCTGCATATATAGAATGATGTATTCCGTATATTTAGTTCAGCCGTGCCGGGAGTCCTATCATTATGAGATTAAACAGCATTGGCGACATGAGCTAACCCTGCGGGGTACCAGCGCTGCCCATAAGCCTTTCCTCAGATCTCAGTCCTCCCATTACGATGGATGCCGTTCTGTCTGTTAGGAAGTCCTTGACATAGTTATACGCTCTCGATCCTAAGCTTAATTGGCAGATCTGATGAAATATTGCCGTATGCGATGCTTTGTCGAAGGCCTTTTTAAGGTCTAATTCTAAGATCGCCCGGGTAGCTCTTGTTTTGTTGTCTAGAATCTGCTGCTTAATTTGCAGCATGGTGTCTTGCGTGGAGAGCTGTGTGCGGAACCCCAACATGGAATCTGGGTAGATTTCGTTCTGCTCGAGATAAGTGTTTATTTTGTCTAGAAAAGGGTGTTCCATCAGCTTCCCAGCACAAGACGTTAGTGATATGAGGCGTAAATTCGATAGATCGGGGGGTTTCCCGGGCTTGGGGATGAGGGTTACTTTAGCTTTTTTCCACTGTTTTGGAATAGTGCCCTCGGTCCAGCACTCGTTATATTGCGTGATGTTCTCTATGACTTGGTCGTCAAGGTTCCGTAGTGTTCTGTTAGTGATCCCGTCTGGTCCCGGTGCAGATTTGGTGTTCAGCTTCTGTAGCGCAGCCCTGATTTCAGCCACAGTAAACTCCTCATCTAAGAGCTCGTTCGGGCCTCCGGAATATGGTCCGTGCTCTACGACAGGCATGGCGGGAATGTACGTGTTGCTAGCCTCAGCGATATAGTCCTCCTCACTGCCGTTATACCGGTGCACCAGTTTACGAAAGGTTTGCTTGTGTGCTGATTTAATGTTATCTGGGTCTAGCAGGTGTTTGAGCATGCGCCATGTTTGACCAGCATTCATTTGGCCATCGAGACTATTACAAACTTGGTCCCATTGCTGTTTGCTTAGCTGCTTTCAATGTTCTTCGATCTGTTTGTTCAGCTTGGCTATGCGCTTGCGCAAGGGCCTGTTGTGCCTCTGTCCCCGCCATCTATTCTGCAGTGATTGCTTGGCCTCCAACATGTGTGCCAGACAGCTATCAATCTGCTCTAGGGGTGGACTTGAAGTTATACTTCGCGTTGGCTTGCTGACGTCGTTATTGACATCTTTGATGCAATCTTCAATATTGCTGATAGGGTCTTGTTTTTTCAAGTTTCTGAGTTTTCGAAACTTATCCCAGTCAGTCCATCAAATCTGTCTCTGAATTTCTGCAGCAGCCATGGTTTCTATCCTGATTTCTAATATTTGATGATCACTCCCCAGATCATCGAATGTGTTTTTCCCTTTAGCGGTCCCCGCATTACGAACTAACGTTAAGTCTGGAGTGGTGTCTCTTGCAAGCCCAGTTCCCATACGCGTAGGGGAGTCGGGGTCAGTGATGAGAGTTAAGCCTGTTTCTTGAATATCCTGCCATAGCGTTTTTCCTTTGGCTCTTGGGTATCCGTATCCTCAAGCACTGTGTGGAGCGTTAAAGTCTCCACCTATGACGAGTGGATTGGGTCCCGCTATATCTACGGCCTTCTTAAAGAGAAGAAGGAATCGTTGTCATATGCGTGTGGGATTGCTGTGCAAATTCAGAATAAATATGCTCGGAGATTTTTTTCTTGTAGGGGCAATTTGTACGAGTATATGCTCAATTTATGTGATACGGGTGTCGCGGCAGATTGCTACGAGTCCCTTCCTTACTAGAATGGTTAGTGTTCTAATATCCCCTGTTGGGGGGGCCGATCGCCTGATATCCCGGCAGCTTAGCTAAACACCATGGCTTTCCTGCAAAATTAGACCACCCGGTTTGGTTTTGTCTCTAAGGTGTTGTTGAGGGCTGCTCTCTTCCCCTTATAACTCCTGCAATTCCACTGCAAAATAACTAAGTCTAAATAGTGAACGCCACACTCTTTAGTTTACCGTATTGATTTGAATCTAGGCCGACATTTTTTTTCTCAAATTCTTTTCCTATCAAACTTCAGGATCGGCTTAAGATTCGGGGATTTTAAAAAACGCGCACGCGCCATTTTTTCATTCATTTTTCATTGAGGAAAGTGATGCACAACTAGCGCCACCTAGACGGTATTATAGCCATTAGTAGCCGAGCCAACACCTGGCTTAAGTGCACATGTGAGGCCGCCATTTTGATCTCTGTGGAGAGTGTTGAGGTGAGGCGCTTGTCCTTTCGAGTCGCACTTAGAGTGGCCTGTGTGTGGAGTAGCTCAATGGCACTAAACAGGTGGTGTCATTATATTGCCATTTCTGAAAGGAAAGACAGCTGACAGAAGATTCAGACACCTTCAGGAGGGATTCAAAGTGGCCCCATGGCCATATTATATAGTAGGTCATGAAACTTAGACAAGTTGTGACATCAACACCCGCCGTATCATTGAAGCACTACTAAGTGAGAAGGGGATAATAAAAAAAAAGCAAAAAACTCTGAGAATTTTTTTATCTAATATTCGTAATTTTATATACACCAAAGTAAAGCAGAAATTTACTTCAAGGTTAATCTGACATTTGTCCAAATAGTTGATCGCCTCACTTTCTTGGTCGAGCGCAATAAATGTGGGGCGCGTGCGGGCTGTCTACAATCTCAGCTTGTGTTTAGGTCGGTGCCTCGTCAGATCAAAAAGGCGTCGCTCGCTTTTGCAAGGTGGTCCCGTGCCTACCATCTGTAGTTAATTTATTTGATTATGTGCTGTTTGCTGGCGTGATATTTAACCGCTGAACTAGCTCACAGAACATGCAAATAGCCGCTCCTGTGAATGCAGACTGCCTTCATTAGCGCACGGCCGGTGTGCCCTTGCCTTTCATGATTGTGAATGCGACATACTAAGCAAAAGAAACACTGTGTTCTAAGGTTGCAAAAGTGATATTCTCAAGGCTGCTGTCTCGCTGCAATAGTTTTTCACGATTGGTCAACATGAATGTTCAATTAACTTCAATTTCGCACCGTGCCAGGCAAATGCACTACAATTAGAGCCCTTAATAAGAGGCATGCTCCGGGCAGCGATTCCAGTCTTTTATATGAGACGTCTCTTACAAGCAGGGTACCTTATATGCATTTTCTTATCAACCCTTGTTTTGCTGCAAGCATGGTGGTGTCTCATACCCGTTTGTCTCTTTTATCAGTGTCTCTTTATAAAGGCGTTTGACTTGTCGCTATCGTTTATGGTTTTGACATAAGATTTTATTTTTTTATTTTGTGCCGTCTCTTATTTGTCCCCACTATACAAAGATGGCGACGGTGGCAACAAGCTGCTAACTACTTAATACACGAGATAGAAGTTGCGCTACCGCTTACATATGCCTTGGCGGCTCCCTCACCTTGAGGTCGTCGAACTTGAGCACAAAGTCCAAAATCTCTGCAAACTGCTTCACAAGGGCCTGCTGCGTTTCCAGGTGCTCACGAGGGGTCCGTGGACCCGAGCAAAGCTCCCACAGGATGCGTGGCACAACTTCCTCTGCAAATAGGAACGAAAACTAGTCGGTTAGAAGAGTTGGTAAGAGGAGGTTAGCTGGGCCAGTTGGTTAGTCTTGTGTTAGTCTTCACCACTTATGTTCTTATATTCCCATGTCATCCGCTGCGCTTGTTTCAGATGTGCAGTGTGATAAGCTGAAGTGAAGACTGTGACGCTACTTGTCAATCAGAAGGCTTAGAATGCTGCATATCATTCTGATAATTGTTAAGCTTTAAGCGTCCCAAAACTATCAAATGATTTTCGATTCCATTGAAAATGCGGCAACGGCGGCAGGGACTCAATTTCGTGTCGTGCCGGTCAGCAGTCGAGCGCCACAACTACTAGACCACCGTGACGGGTGCACACCAACCACTCTTAGAATTCTAAGACGAAAATAGACCTTAGTTACGAATAACCCTAAAGTTGAGCAGAAAAAATACGGTAAGCTTAATATAGAAGCAACCTAATCTGGTACAGGATTCAAATGGCTAGTTTTGAGAGCATATTTGCCCCACCTTTTGTTTTTCTGAAGATCTCCCGTAAGGTCTCCACACATTTGAACAGAAAAGGCCCAGAAATTTTCAAACCATTCGGGAAATGTCTATTTTGGAATAAATGCTGTGCTAACTAGTCTTCTCTGTACTGAATAATGTTAGAATTCATTGATGTGCTAATAGATGCATTTCGAGAGCCAGGCATCCACTTTACTAGAATCGAATCACATTAGTTTGTCTCACACTGAATCCCACTTGTTTGTTGCTTAACCTGAACACATTGCAAAGTCCTGGCAAGAATCTATACTTTGCTATGAAAGAAAACCTTTCTATATAGAATGGCAGGGATTCATCACAAAAAATACGAAGGCATGTGCGAGTGCATGCCTTAGTGGCTGCCACTACACACGTGTGCACACACACACATGCACATGTGTGCAAGAGAGAGAGAAACAACATTGGTGTTGGTCACCTTTTCTTGTGACCGCCTCTGCACACCTTGCTCTCTTTTGCAATAAGCTTCAACTGCTTAGTAACAGAATTCTCGGCTATATCCGCTGTCTATCTGAAAGATAACTATTTAACTGACTGATTGGTCGTGCTGCGTAGCGAATCTGGCAATATCCCGATGGCAACTGCAGGCATATTGACTTATGCTGACTACTGTATATCATTCGTGGCAAGCACTCACCAAGACTTTGTGAGAAGATGTAAAACTGCTTCAACTTGGACACCAGGGGCAGCACGGCCTCCCATGCTTTCATTTGACGAGCTTCACTCCTTGGATTGGCTATAGCCTGGGAAACACACAATGGTAATCATACAGAGTGTCAGAATACGAACAAGAGAATCTCGAGGGCTTGTTTTTTTGTTTGACTCATATTGCTCCGAAATGACAAAAAAAAAAAAAAACAGTAGATAATGAAGCCAGGAAACACCTAGCGGAACATTAATTTTACTGTTTCAAGTCCATTGCAGTACTTGCAAAATACAAGTGAAAAAAGTAAAGCCATGAAAAGCCAGAAGAAACCGAATCCAAATTTTTATATTATGCACTTAATACTCTAACCAACTGAGCTAGGCTTAAAGTCATCCAATTTCCCGCTTTCACTGTATGGGGTATTTATGCGCATGGAAACTTGAGGGTCAGGCAGTACCGCTTGTAGCCATGACAGCAAGTGTGATACTTACACTTAAGCCTCATTATAACAAAGTCACACCTGTCACAAAAATGCTTCGTTATATCCAAAAATTCCTTCTAGACATATATTTGTAGCACTCTATGACAAAGCTATTCTTCATTTACTTCGTTTGAACCGATACTTCGTTATATCCAGGTTTGTTATATCGAGGTTTGAGTGTATTTGCAAGCTGGCATATGTTAGCATCTGATCTTTATTGCGAGCTGGCAAATAAGCTCTCGCATACCACCTGAAGGCATCAAGTCCGCCAGAACGAGACCCTTGCGATCAATGTATGAAGGAAGGAAATTTCGTCGGCTCGTTTCTTTTTGTCTGACATGGCCTTAATGAAAACCAGCACATAATGAAGCCAAGCAAGGTATATAGGACGTTAATTACACTGCTTCAGGTGTATTGTAATTGTATCTATAGGGAAAAAAGAGATTTCTCTAAGTGGTAGCATGCTGTTTGGAGAGCTAAACAATGTCAGTGACTCAAAACCCATACTTAAACACTGACACGGTTCTCATAGTGTATGGCACAACTGTTCTGCAAGAACACCGAGTTCGTTGCAATGTGCACAATGTTCCCATCTGCTAGAGCACTCCCATGCGTTGGATACAAAATGGGTGTATGGACTGCACTGGGCTGAACGGTACACGAAAATCCCACTTAAATTAGCAAGGTGCTGATGTGTGTTTTGTGGCATAACCATGAAGCAGGTGGCTGTGGGTGTGACAGCTAACAGTGCTTTGCCGTGAAAGATTTGTACTTCAGGCCATTTTAAACAGAGGCCCTAAAAAACACACTTATGTTTTGACCACATTAGATGAAATTTCACAGGTTTCTTCAGTTTATTTAGACAACTCTAAGTTAAACTACATCTTAACCAGATCAAGTACTTCAATTAATTTGTAATCACATTAGACTGTTTGCTGCAAGATTGAAAACATAACTACTAAATAAAATATACTGATTAGCACATGTACAGATGCTAGAATTCATGAGGTATGCAATGCTTTTAGTGGATATAAAATGAAGTGGTTATTTCTTTACTTACAGCACAACAAAGGTCATTTGCACATAAGTATTGACGAGCATATCAAGTTGAAAGCAAGTTTAATTGCACTCGATGACAGTAAAAGCATGAAGGTTAAAATTAGTGACATTTACTCTCAGTGTTGCCTAGCCTGCCTATAGCCTCGCCGCGGTGGTCTAGTGGCTAAGGTACTCGGCTGCTGTCCCGCAGGTCGCGGGACCGAATACCGGCTGCGACGGCTGCATTTCCAATGTAGGCGGAAATGTAAGCCCGTGTGCTCACATTTGGGTGCACGTTAAAGAACCCCAGGGGGTCGAAATTTCCGGAGCCCTCCACTATGGCGTCCCTCATAATCATATAGTGGATTTGGGATGTTAAACCCCACATATCAATCAATCATTAGGCTGCTTATATTTTAGCTGTATGCAGCGACGAAAATTGAAGCTTCAGCTGTACGTACTAGGTCCAAATATATTGATGCAGGAAACAAGGAGAGTGGCAAATACTGTGTTGTACAAAACAGGATAACAAATTTGTTGATATTTCATGTATTCTTAAGAAGTGAGACACATGTACAAAAATAATGAACACTGAAGCAAGAAATACTCCAGATTAGTGTAAGAATGTGTTACGAATTCTGAGATTGAGTGCTTTGAAAAGTCTATTTCGTTCCCAGTACTCGGCCTTCAAAGACCCACGTACCCCCTTGATGTAAACTTGTACGGGAAAACCCAACAAGAGGTCTCATATTCAAACATGCTTTTAATCCAACTGCTAAGCGCAATGTCGCATTAATGAGAAAGTTTTTCTTAGGTTGGTTGGGGGCAAGAACGCATCCCGCCAGAATGCGCAAAATACACATTTGGAAAGCATGTTACCTCTCACTGGAACAGATACCAACAGCTGTAGCATCAGCCGCCTGCATCAGTGGCAGCATTTTTAGGCTAGGTTTGCGAAAACACTGATGTTCTTGTCTCCTAAGGATGTGTTTAGGTATCTACTGTAACGTGCACTTCCAGCAGTGTTTGTTATAGCAATTAGTAATGTCTTGAGTTTGATGTTCCGAAACGACAAAATAATGAGGGACGTTGCAGTTGGGGGCTCGAGAAAATTCGGTCATCTAGTGTTAACGCGCTTCGACGTCGCAGGGTACACAGGTCTTTACCATATTCCTCCACTGAAATGCGAATGCCACAGCCGAGATCAAATTCGCGACACCGTAGCGATTGCTGGTATGGTTGAATGTAGCCAGCGACGACGGCAGACAAGTGGCCCGTGCTCACCTCTCTGATCTCGCTGCCCGCACCTTTGTACGTCTGAAGTTCCAGGAGTATGTCCCTTGAGTGCTGTAGCACATCCTGCACTACGTAGTATGTCTCCTGTTCAGATTCTGAAGGCTCAGCGTCTGGAAGGAAGAGAAAATACCAGCAAAAAAAAGTAAGACCAGGATAGCTAGTTGCAATACAACAAAGAATAATTTGTCCAAGAAAAGAGATACAGCTGTAGAGAACTCTTTCTATCTTTTCAAGTAAAAAAAGGCCATATGCAGTTCAAAGAAGAGCGCCTATTTCCCTTTCCAGCCAGATACGCTAAGACAGTGACTTTCAAGCAAGCAAGCGAGCCTTTTCCGGAGTCCCGATGCCTTGGCATCAATTAGACTCCGCATTTAATGCCACTAGACATTACGCACACATCACAAGCATGTAACAAATCGAAACAAGGACACACCATCATCATGAACATTCAAAATGGCTGTAATACAAACCAAACAATGTGCTTCCTGCAGTTTTAGAAGCTGCATCTACATGGCAAAACTGCTAAGCTGCCAGTTTGCAAGCAGTTTAGCACGCATTATCTAAAATACCATAAAGGGCACTTAACTCAATGTGCTAAAGGTTGCTTTTTGCGATAAGGGGGCCTCAAATAGCAAGGTAGAGTGATGCCTCATTAATAACTGTAGCTTTCATGCAGTAAGATTTTTTTTTTTTCCAGACCGTGCGAATTCTCACTGCTTTCACATAACAAAAATGCAGTAGGCAAACAGACAAAGCTAATGCAGTTCTTTACTTTCGGCTACAAAAAATAAAAAATATATACAAGTTTTTCAATCACAAGTAAGTCAGAATTCAAGCACAGTACTGTATAGCGTAGTAATGCCGCGAGGCGTATTGTGGATAGTGTTGCGCATGCCGATACCGCCGGCACGCGGCCTTATCGTGGTCCAGGATGCACCGCGACTCATCTGCGAAGATCATGGCCCGGACGTCGACCATTCGTTGATAACGAGATAGCGCCAGACGCTACGACGACTGTATCTCGGATGGTGAACGCGCCTTGCGTTCTAGTGGGACATTTCTGTTACCCGACGGCCGTCGAATGCGCCTTGCGTTCCAGTGGGACATTTTCTGTTACCCGACGGCCGTCGAACGCGCTGTTCGCCTCCCGCTAGGCCGGTGTGTCTGTTTTCCTTTAGTGAGCGCAAGTCCGCCAAATAAACGAATCTCCTTCTATTTCTACTAACCTCCCGGTCTCCTGTCTTCGGCTACCCTCACTCTTACGTGACATCTGGTGGAGGTGCGGGGTACGAGCGAGGACGCTGAAGACACAGATACTCGAAGCAGTCGCCGCCTCCGAAACCTGCCACCTGAGCTGGGACCGCTACCGGACCCCACGCGACCACGAAAGGACGCTTCCACAGCCACCATGAGCACCCCGCAATCACCTACCCCTGTCATGCTGCAGCCGCCGCGGGTGCCCCCAACTTTCCATGGTTATGCCGCTGAAGACCCAGAAGAATGGCTCGACCAATTTGAGCGCGTGGCTACCATAAACAGGTGGGATGAAGAAATGAAGCTGCGATACGTTTACTTTTCCCTGGACGGCCCCGCCAAAACGTGGTATGAAAACCATGAGACCACACTGACCACCTGGGAATTTCTGAAGAATGAGTCGCTCAGGACCTTCACCAGCATCATGCGAAAAGAAAGGGCCCAGCTGCTGCTAGAATCGAGGACCCAACAGCCCAATGAGACCCTAAACGTGTACGTCGAAGAAATGAAAGAAGGGAAGGGAAGAAGGGAAGACCCTAAACGTGTACGTCGGATCAAGCCATAAATTCATACTCGGCACCACACAATCGCGCAGCCCTCCGTGCGCTCGAGAATGACGTGAACGTCCCACCCCGATCAACGACCCTAATCATTGTAACCACTGGTACTGCCGAAAATGTTCATGGCGTCGTCGAAGGTAACATACAGCTTTTGCTTGGCCGTGATATCGCAATCGCAAGAGGCATTGCGGACTTCCGGAATGGACAGGGCCCAGTGCTGCTAACAAATTTCATCCAAGAACACCGTCACCTGGCCAAAGGCACGACCATTGCCTTTCTCGATGAAATCGCGGAAGTCAGTGACACCCTCGCCCTCTCGAATCCAGCGACCATCACCCCACAGAACCACAACTCGCAGCTGTCATTCGACATTAACCCTTCCTTGCCTCAATGCAAACAGCAACTGCTCCAGAACCCCCTTCGACGTTATGACGACTGTTTCGCCACTTCTTCACAGGTCCGACACACTTCTCTGGCAAAGCATCGAATCATAACACAAAAAGACATCCGCCCTCTCCATCAAAGCCCTTATCGTGTGTCGGCACGTGAACGTCAGGCCATCCGAGAGCAAGTTGAGGAAATGTTACACGACGATGTAATTCAGCCATCGAAAAGCCCATGGGCGGCACCAGTAGTCCTTGTCAAAAAGAAAGACGGAAGTCTTCGGTTTTGCGTCGATTACCGACGGTTGAATAGTGTAACCAAGAAGGACGTGTACCCTTTACCAAGGATCGACGATACCCTAGATCGTCTTAGTGATGCAAGGTACTTCTCGTCCATTGATCTGAAGACAGGGTATTGGCAAATTCAGGTTGATGAAAGAGACCGAGAAAAGACCGCCTTCATCACGCCGGATGGATTGTATGAGTTCAAAGTGATGCCATTTGGACTTTGTTCCGCTCCAGCAACCTTCCAGCGTCTAATGGACACAGTACTGGCAGCTCTCAAGTGGCAAATATGTCTCGTATACCTGGACGATGTGGTCGTCTTCGCCTCCAACTTTAGCGACCACCTGAAAAGACTCCGGACGGTACTGGACGCAATTAAGTCATCAGGGCTGACACTGAAGCAAGAAAAATGCCATTTTGCCTACGAAGAACTACAGTTCCTTGGCAATGTTATAAGCAAAGATGGCGTAAGACCAGATCCCGAGAAGACAGCCGCTATCGCACAGTTTCCTCAACCGCAAGATAAGAGAGCAGTGCGCCGATTCTTAGGACTGTGCGCCTATTACCGACGCTTCGTCAAGAACTTCTCACACATTGCTGCCCCTTTGACGCAGCTCACCAAGTCGGACGCCCCTTTGAATGGAAAGCTGAGCAACGTGAGGCATTCAAAGAACTTCAACAACGTTTACAGTCGCCGCCTGTGCTGGGTCACTTTGATGAAAATGCCGAAACTGAGATACATACAGACGCCAGCAGCATCGGCTTAGGTGCCGTTCTCGTTCAGAAGCACAAGGGCTGCGAGCGCGCCATCGCGTATGCAAGCCGCTCACTGTCGAAAGCGGAAGTGAACTATTCCACGTCTGAGAAAAAGTGTCTTGCGATAGTATGGGCCACCTCGAAATTCCGCCCATACTTATATGGCAGACCCTTCAAGGTCGTAACGGACCATCATGCGTTGTGCTGGTTGGCCAGTTTGAAAGACCCTTCTGGCCGCCTCGCTCGATGGAGCCTACGGCTTCAGGAGTTTGACGTGAAGGTAGTCTACACATCTGGTCGTAAGCACTCCGACGCAGACTGCCTCTCAAGAGCCCCTGTTGGCGCACCACCAAGCCATGAAGACGACGATGCCTTTCTTGGGCCTATCAGCAGCAGCACCTTTGCATTACAGCAGCGCTCAGACCCGATCCTACAACAGTTGATGAACTACATCGAAGGAAAGGCCTCCATACCGCCTGCACTGTTCAAGCGTGGGATATCCTCCTGTGTGCAAAACGGGGTGGTAGTTAAAAAGAACTTCGCACCGAATAAGGCAGCTTACCTTCTTGTCGTCCCAAGCAGCCTCAGAGAAGAAATTTTACAAGCGTTGCATGACGAACCCACTGCAGGCCACCTCGGTTTTACACGCACACTCCACAGAATTAAAGAACGATACTACTGGCCCCACCTCTCCTCAGATGTTGCGCGGTACGTCAAGAGTTGCCGCGAATGTCAGCGCCAGAAGAGACCTCCAACAAAACCAGCTGGATTTCTCAAGCCAATTGAACCCCTGTCGAGACCATTCCAACAGATTGGTATGGACCTGCTAGGACCTTTCCCCACATCAACATCCGGTAACAAGTGGATCATAGTGGCCACTGATTACCTTACCCGATACGCTGAAGCTAAGGCCCTCCCGAACGGCACAGCCGTAGAAGTTGCCAAATTTTTTGTCGAATCAATTCTCCTCCGTCATGGCGCACCTGAGGTACTAATAACAGACAGGGGAACAGCGTTTACGGCTGATCTTACTCAGGCAATCTTACATTACAGTCATACAGATCACCGAAGAACAACTGCGTACCATCCGCAGACAAATGGTCTCACGGAACGCTTGAACAAGACCATTGCCGATATGCTCGCTATGTACGTGGACACAGAACACAAGACCTGGGACTTAATTCTGCCTTACGTGGTCTTCGCTTACAACACTGCGGTGCAGGAGACCACTAAAATGACACCATTTAATCTCGTCCATGGGAGGAATGCCGTTACTACCCTGGACGCCATGCTGCCTAATGTCACCGATGAAAACAACCTAGACGTGGCCGCCTACCTTCAGAGCGCAGAAGAAGCCCGGCAGCTTGCTCGTCTGCGCATAAAAGACCAACAGCGAAACGACGCAAGACGCTACAACCTGCGGAGACACGATTTAACATACAGGCCAGGTGACAAAGTCTGGGTTTGGACGCCCGTTCGCCGCCGAGGATTAAGCGAAAAACTCATGCGCCGTTATTTCGGTCCATACAAAGTCATCCGTCAAGTGGGTGAAGTGGACTATGAAGTGGTCCCTGATGGGGCTTGCTCATCCCAACGACGCCGCGCACGACAAGAAGGGGAACACGTCGCCCGTTTGAAGCCCTATCATGCGCGCTAAAGGAGGCTCCCTGTTTGCATCTCTTGTTTTGTTTATGTGTGCGTGATTCGTGCTTATTTGCCATTTACTTTCGCACAGGCTGTCCTTTTGTTTTGGTTTTATTTTAAACAAAGCATCGGGTCGATGCTTACGTTGAGGAGGGGAGCAATGCCGCGAGGTGTATTGTGGATAGTGTTGCGCATGCAGATACCGCCGGCACGCGGCCTTATCGTGGTCCAGGATGCACCGCGACTCATCTGCGAAGATCATGGCCCGGACGTCGACCATTCGTTGATAACGAGATAGCGCCAGACGCTACGACGACTGTATCTCGGATGGTGAACGCGCCTTGCGTTCCAGTGGGACATTTCTGTTACCCGACGGCCGTCGAACGCGCCTTGCGTTCTAGTGGGACATTTCTGTTACCCGACGGCCGTCGAACGCGCCTTGCGTTCCAGTCGGACATTTTCCGTTACCCGACGGCCGTCGAACGTGCTGTTCGCCTCCCGCTAGGCCGGTGTGTCTGTTTTCCTTTAGTGAGCGCAAGTCCGCCAAATAAACGGATCTCCTTCTATTTCTACTAACCTCCCGGTCTCCTGTCTTCGGGCTACCCTCACTCTTACATGACAGAATTTTTAATGTATTTGGGAAAGACTGGTAGTATATGAACAGCTCTGATCTTTAATGATTCTTGCAACTGCACTAGGTCTTATCTGCCTTTGTCAGCCATAATTACCAAGCAGTTCCCAATTCTGAAGCGCATGCTCTACATGCACAACCATGATCATCATCATCATCAGCCTGACTTACGCCCATTGCAGGGCAAAGGCCTCTCCCATGTTCCACCAGTCAACTTGGTCCTGTGCTTGCTGCTGCCGCTTGATACCTGAACTTATTATTCTCATCTACCCACCCAACTTTCTGTCTCCCCCCTCACCCGCTTGCCTTCTCCGAGAATCCAGTCAGTTACCTTTAATGATTAGCAGTTATCCTGCCTACAGGCTACATGCCCGGCCCATGTCCATTTCTTCTTGATTTCAAATATGATATCCTTAGCCCCAGGTTGATTGATTGATTTGTGGGGTTTAACGTCCCAAAACCACCATACGATTATGAGAGACGCCGTAAAGGAGGGCTCCGGAAATTTCGACCACCTGGGGTTCTTTAACGTGCACCCAAATCTGAGCACACAGGCCTACAACATTTCCGCCTCCAATGGAAATGCAGCCGCTGCAGCCGGGATTTGATCCCGCGACCTGCGGGCCAGCAGCCGAGTACCTTAGCCACTCGACCACCGCGGCGGGGCCTTAGCCCCAGGTTGTTCCCTGACCAACTCTGCTCTATTTTTGTCTCTTACAGTTACACCTATCATTTTCCTTTTTATCGCTCGCTGCGTCGTCCTCAATTTAGGCTGAAACCTCTTCGTAAGCATCCAGGTTTCAGCTCTGTAGGTAAGTAATGGAGAGATGTTACCTGCTATATACCTTCCACTCGAGGGTTAGTAGTAGATTACCATTCATGATTTGAGAATGCTTTGCCGAATGTGCTCCACCCAAGGCTTATTCTTCTAGTTACTTCAATTTCTCGGTTTGGTTCGTCCCCGCGGTTACTACCTGTTCTAAGTACACGTACTCTTTTACAACTTCAAGTGCACTGCTACCCATCTCGAAGCGCTGTTCTCTTCTGAGGTTGTTGTACATTACTTTCGTTTTCTACAGATTAATTTTAAGGCCTAACTTTCTGCTCTCCTTGTCTAATTCAGTAACGATGAATTGCAATTTGTCCCCCGAGTTACTCAGCAATGTAATGTGATTGGCGAAACGCAGGCTACTAAGGTAGTCTCCATTAACTCGTATCCCTAACTTGTTTCATATTAGGCCTCTGAAAACCTCCTGTAAGCACGCGGTAAATAGCATTGCGGAGACCACATCCCCTTGTCTTACACACTTTTTTATGGGTATTCTGTCGCTTTCATTATGGAGCACTATGGAGGCACTTGATCCTCTGTAGATTTCTTCCAGAATGTTTATATATGCTTCGTCAACGCACTGATTCCGCAGTGTCTGCATGACTGCTAATAGTATCTCTACAGAATCAAAAGCCTTCTTGTAGTCTACAAAGGCTATGTATAGTGCTTGGGTGTATTCTGAGCATTTCTCTATGAGGTACATTGCCGAGTAGCCTGTTCGAAACCCTGCTTGATCATTTGGTTGATTGAATTCTAATGTCTTAATTCTGTTACCAATTACCTTTTTAGATCGCTTGTATACGACGGAGAGCAAGCTGATCGGCCAGTAATTACTCAAGTGATTACTCAAGACTTCATACGAAACTTCTAGCCTACAAAGCGTTTGTCAGACCTGTCTTAGAATATGCGAACGTCGCGTGGTTTCCCTTTACAAACAATCTCATAAATGCCCTAGAACGAATACAACGAAAAGCGATAAGATTTGTCTATAACAAGTACAGAATAACTGACTCAGCCACAGAACTTTTAAAAAAAGCAGGTCTCTTAACAATAAAAAACCACGCTAAACTGGCACGTCAGAAATTCCTATATCAGTTAGTTCACCAACAGCTAAACATAGACAGTTCAAAGTACATGTCATTTAAAGAAACAAGGCCAACACGACAAAAGCATTCTCAGACACTGAATGAATATCAGTGCCGGACGGACTGTCTGAAATATTCTTTTTTTCCACTAGCAATTCGCGAGTGGAATAACTTGCCAATCAGTATAACAAACAGTCAATCATTGGAAACTTTTTCATCCCTGCTCGAATGTTATTTATTGTCTACAGAATCGACGAACTCTGTTTTTCTCTTGTCCACTGTGAAGTGCTCACTATTCTTTTTTTCCAGTACTAGTTGGAATTGATGTCCTATGCTACTGAATGTATTTTAGTGGTACTGATGCAGTCATCAAATGTATATCTGGCGGCTTTGTCTCACTCGTTATTATAATAATTCAGTGAGTACCCTCTGTATAAATCTTGCCCTTTCACAATGTATGTGCCCTTCCTGCAATAATCCCTATTAGGGATTGGCAGTATATGTAAATAAAAAAATAATAAAAAAAGTCCTTGTCATCCTCTATCTTATAGATTAAGATGATATGTTTCTTATAGATTAAAACGATAGACATGGAGGAGCCCTAATGGCGAAAGTAAGAACGAAATAGACTTTATACTGACTGCACGCCCAGACACAGTGCAGGATGCCGAATTGCTTGGCAAGGTATGATGTAGTGACCATAGAATGGTAAGGTCTCGAATCCACCTAGACTTGAAGAAGGAACGACAGAAACTGATACACAAAGAAGCCTACCAATGAGCTAGTACTGAGAGGGAAAGTACAGGAATTCAGAATATCGCTTCAGAACCTGCTTTTATTCAAGAAACCAGCCTTAGCATTGATGCAATGAATGATAATCTGGCGAGTATCATTACGGAGTGTGCAGTGGAAGTTGGAGGTACGGTAGTTAGACAGGATACTGGCAAGCTATCCCAGGAGACGAAGAACCTCATTCGGAACATCAAGGCATGTTAGCATCAAGCACAACAGACAAAATAGAACTGTTAGAGCTTTCGAAGTTGATTAATAAGCAGAACGTATCCGATGTATGAAGGTATAACATGGAGAGAATTGAACATGGTCTAAATAATGCAGGCAGCGTCAAAGCAGTGAAGAGAAAACTTGGGATAGGCAAGAACCAGATGTATGCCCTAAGAGACGAAGAAGGCAAAGTAACAACCAATATGGATTGGATAGTTAAAGTAGTGGAGCAGTTATACAGAGATATGTACACTAGCCGGAACAAGCAGGGCCATGGTGTAATAACTAGCAACAAACAAGCCGACATCCCTCTAGTAATGGCAGAAAAGGTCAGGAAAGCCTAGGAGGGAATGCAAAGAGGCAAAGCTGCTGGTGAGGCTAGCCACGTTTTTACGAGGTGTCTTTTGACGGGGAGGGTACCAGAATCTTGAAAGAGTGGTAACATGCATGCATAAACCACTGCAAATCACCGGTGTTTATCATGAAATATCTTGCTAAAAATGATCACTAAGGCCTTAATGATCAGTGGATGCTAGGGGCCTCTACTTACTTTCGAAGTCAACGAAGACGTCGTACTTCGGGGCATCGTCCCTCGACAGCAAGCGCAGAAGGTTGCCCATTTCACATCTGTATAAAAAGAAAAGGGCATATAAAGCAGTGAGGGTAACATTTATATGGGAACAAAAATAAAGTTACAAAAGTAACACATAGTGGGCTATACTATTGGCCCATGTTTCCCCTTACACGAACTGTACAGCAACATTTTTTTTTTTGCTATAGCTATGTAAGTTTGTATATAGGTTATGAAGTAAAGCTTGTCTACTTCAAAAAAAAATGTGGTGCTCATGACACCACACAAGTGACAAGTGGCTAGGGTGCTGTAATGATGACACAGCACACACAGCTGATAGCTCTACTGCTGCCGCTACAAGAACAAAGCTTGTAGCTAACCTTAAAAGGGACACTAAAATGAAACAATCACTGTTCAGATTGACAAACTGCACTCTGAGCCCTGTAAAGCCACATGTTTCACTATCATAAGTTTATTATTAGTGAAAAAAAAGGTTGAAGTTTCATTTTTAAATTTTGCGCTGTAATCTGTGCACTTGATGCAACAAATTTCAAAATCTATTCTTTGCAGTTCTGCAACATTGGCTCAATGAAATGTTGCGAAACTTTGTATGTATTTAATTTTGATTGAGTAGACGCTATGGAGGACGAAGCAGGCACCTTCGAAATTCACTAAGTCGCTATGTGTTTGGTGCTGGAATATCACAGCGGCGTCTCCCCCCCCCCCCCCCCTCCATTTTCTGTTCGTGCGTTTTCTCGCTTACCAAGCGTCATGTCGCAGAAAAGTGTTCTATTGTGAAATTGCACTTTACAAATACGCGAGAAATCGTTTTGTCAATTAGTGCCCCCTTAACGCTGAAACAGCTGCATTTTGAAGCTTTTTCACCTCACCTGAAGGACATATTTCTGCCAATACTAGCAACAAAAACACATTATCCCAGTAAGGTGACAAACTCTACTATATTTGCAACCTAGGCTTCAAGGAATTGGCAACAATTGTTCTGGTCAGCATGTCTGAATGCAAGTTGCCAAAAAAAAAAAAAAAAACAAGCACGAAAGCACCAAGTGCAACAGTGCAAAAAGGGACTAAAAGAAATGGGTGCTCGACTAATTCTTACTAAAATGAGAGCGAGAGACTTATTAAACTATGAGAAAGAATGTATATATACATAACCAGTTATCATAAATCTAAACAAAGAAAAGAAACAAGAAGGTCTCCAGTTTCGTGTTCAAAAATTTACAGAAATGGGGATAAGTGGCATACTTCTACATTATGTCTTCTTTTTTGTATAACAGTGTTCAACAAATAAACATTCCAAATGAATCACTAATTAAGCTATAGTAGTCTCCTTGCATGCATTTAGTAGGATATTTATGTGCACAATTTCATAATCTAGTCCTCCCACTGTTAGGTCACACAACTTATGGCTTTTGACAAAAGCGCACTGATTGAATGGTGAAACTAGGACTATTCAAGACATGAATTTGTTACAAGGTCAAGCCTGGTTTCTCGAAAAATTCCAGACTGTGATCGTGCCAGAACATGCATGAGTTTAAGTGGTGCTGCAGGCATTGCTTTAACAATTCACAAAAAGCTAGTCTTCCCTGCAAATGTGGTACCTTCTAAATGTGCTGCCACGACAACCGGTGTTGATCACAACCGAGTCATGATCACTGATAACTCACTCCCTGACTTCAATGTGTACATGATTTTGAAAGTGAGAGGGGCTGCAGAAAAAGCCTGCAGACTGACAACAGTACATTCTTGCGCTCACGTTTAACAATTATGAGTTATCAGTGATCATGACTAATATACAATTTTTTTTTATAAGTTTCTGGGCTTCCCTTCTTACCTAAACAACGCTCTCTTACAAACAATGCGACTTTCCTGCTCGATGACTTCATACAAGAGCTGCGATTTTTCCGCAATGGTAAACATGTTTATGCAAATCCGTTGCTAAGGTGATTGCCCTATTCCTGAAAACATAGCAGGCAAATATAATAACTATTCAGCCACCGCAAAAAACTCCACAACCTGTTAGTACATGGTGGCCCGAGAGAGCGTTAACGGCATAAGAGAATGGTCATTAAGTTTACAGTACACTCACAATGTGTTCATACAAAGAAAACTGCATGGGATCAGAACAACAGTATGTTACGTAATGCATCTACAGCCAAAAGCTCAGAGTCCGAGCTTTTGGCACACTTCCTTATTCTAGTCTATCAATCAGCAATTCATCTTTTCTTTTTGTACTTAAGATACACGACTGTAAAAGATGTCAAGCCTAACATATGTCAAATAATCCCTCATTACTGCAGACACAGTAAAACATGTGAAGCTATACATTTACATTTTACAAGTAGTATACAGGTCACTAAAAAATGAATCGTAGTAAGCACCACCTAAAGTGAGAAAAACAAAAGTTAGTGAGAAGTACTGTGAAGTTACTCTCCTGTCACATATAATCTACCAATGTGGCAGCACCAGAGCCAGCGCCTTTACAAGGTCCGAACAAACACAACATACCTGAAACAGCAGCGGCAAGTGTGGGTGGCCATGTGTATCCGAGATAAGTCTGGTTACCCCACACATCACAACTAACTAGTAGCCAAGTCTGCGTCAAGTTACTTTCAGCACTGTTCCATCAGAAATTGTACGAAGTGGCCTCAGCGAGGCACATTCATTCCTCCGGCAGAGGAGCCTCCAATGATTGAGCAAGCAGAGAGACACCCTGACCCGAAAACACGAGCAGCTAGCGTGACAACAATGCTCAAGAAAGTAGAAACAAGGAGAACAAAATATAGAAGAGACACTGTCGTACAGCCGTTCCCGCCCCCCTGCTGTTCTGCTCTGTCTCCTCAGAGGTCACGCGTCATTTGACGAGAGAGCAGGCAGGTCGGGGGTCTACCATCCGAAGGAGGACAATCTCCCTTGCAAATGAAGCCTTGGCATTCAGCCAGAGTCAAGGCTTCTCTAGTCTTCCGGCACGTGTTTGTGATAAAGATGTACGCAGTCATCGTCGATGTGCACACATGTTGCTATAAATAGGCATCGGGCAAGATGAACTTGCAGTCTGCCGCAACGTGCAGGCATAGCAATTGACGGGAGCGAGGTATTTGGTCCCCGAGATGCCATGAAGGATTGCGAAACGAAGAAGAATGACAGGATTTCTTACGATCCTCAACACAGAGCATAATGCATTGTTGTAGTGCCTGCAGAGATAGTTGGGCAATGGACAAGCACGCATTCGGATGTTGCCGGTTTGGGTTATTGAAAGTGAATGGGTGATTTTTTGTCCACTTTGGTTCATATTAATTTAATTTACTTCACAATACACTACAGTTAAAAGCAACAATTAAAGTTCTTAGTCCTTGCCCTGTCCTAAGGGTCAGGTTCATTTGGTTGTGTTGTGTACATCAGTGTGACAATTTGATACGACTTGATCAAGACACATCAAAAGTCAGACACAAAGTATACAATATTGTGCTCCCACAATGCACGAGACTGCACTGTCAAGATTGCCCTTTCCTGCAACATTTCTCCCAAGCGTATTTTTGTCCACCGTAATGCAGTGTCAAACAGACGCAAGATACCGCACTTCTTTAAAACCCGTGAAAGTTGCAAACGGTGACTACCCCTTCGAAGCATCTGTAGCTATCACATCGGACGGGCAACTGCAAGTGATACCTCAAGCTCGAGCACTGGCAATGGCATTGATTACTCACATCAATCGGCGGATCGGGTGCCATACCTGCATAGGAACATCCCGAATCCTTCGTAGGAATCAAACCGCCTGCACCGATTCCAGTCTTTAGTTAGTGACTCTCACAGCACGTGTCAGAGTGGCATGAAACTCCTTGCACGACTCTGACTCGTTGGCCATGGGGGACACACAGACGAAGTCACGGTAGGTTCATGAAGTTACGGGTAGCACAGGCCACTGCATCCGGCACAGCAACTAAGGGCCAATGGAAGGTGTTTCACGGGCATCACAGTGGCGTGTTGCACACGGGGTACTCTCCGTTAGCACTGGAGTCGCTTTCACCGACAGGATCGTATTCAAACCACGGGGAGGTGTGATGGGCACGTGTCGAAGCGACACGCCAGATGGAAGAGGTCTCTAAAGCGGGTTTTCTGAAGGCGGCTGCGGCGAACTAGCTTTCTTCCAAGATCGCGCGCACAAAAGAGGTACGACGGAGGAAGGGAGGAGGGTGGGGGGGGGTGTAAGGCAAAAATTAAGGCAGGCATAAAAGGGCATACCCCTTCCTGCTATTTGCGCTCCCCCGGAAGCCAGTGGCAAAGCGCCAGTTTTTCTCGTACTCCGCTGCCACCCGCCCGACCGATGTCGTTCACCTCACCTCTCTAAAGAAAAAAAATATATATCGCACAGAAGGCAACCTCAACGGCACGGCTCCTGTTTGCCCGCCGGCTACACTCAAAAACTCGCGCAGTGCTCGCGTTGGTTGCGATTTCTTACAAGGTCGCAAGAGATTTCGAGCTGGATATTGGAACGGGGCGTTGGTGGTATCGCGAGACGAAGAGAAAGACTGCGTAATATTGCTGAGGCAATTAAGGACAAGACCTCAAATGAGCAAGAAAGAAAAAAGAAACGTATGACGTACGACCGCGGAAGTTTTATCAATCGCGCCAGCACACCGAATGTCCTTTTGATTTTTTCGTTCGATCGCCGCCCGCGACAACTATCTCGACTTCCAAGGACGAAGTTTTTCCAGCAGAAACGGAACACCCAGCCACACACGAGGTTCACATACTTGAATCCAGCGGAGCTGACGGGCGCTTTCTAAAAGCTGTCCGAAACTGATACGTCGCGCGAGGCAATTTCTCGGGCATCGCGCACGCTTCTTCTCGGGCACTGACTCCCAAGAAAGTTGGCAACGGCAGGAAACAGTTCGCCTATACGTGCTTTCGAGAATTCCCGACGCCACTCGCCCCCTCCTCGAGAGACGAAAACAAACCCGGCACGCTTACGAATCAAAATCTAAAATAAACACACTTACGTCGTCGCACTGGCGCTGAAAGCCGACGAAGCGGTGAAAGGCCCAAAAATTTTCGACGCTTCGAGCGAACACCGTGCGGTGATCTTGACTTTTTGCGCAGTTCGTACGTCACTCAACTGGCAGGACGGCGCGTGTGCTGGATGTACAAAAAAGGCGAACCTGCGATCACGTCGGCAAACTTCTCTTCTTAAACTAGAATCACACACTTCTTCCCTTCTTAAACTAGAATCACACACTTCTTCCCTTCTTAAACTAGAATCACACAGGCACAGCAAGCGCGAAAGGCGCGGACCGCTTTGAGATGCTCGAGCCGCAGTACACTTTTCATAGCTCGCTAGAATGCAAGCAGTGCCACATCAAAGGCACGGTGCGGTAAGGTGGTCCAGAATAGGCTCACCGCCGCATGCCAACCCGGCTGTGACGACCGAGGGTATGGTGAGAGGGAGGCCACTCGGAGTGAGAGAAGTAGAACTCGATGATAAAAAAAAAAAAAACACAAGCCGTGCAACAATAGGAAGACGAGAGACGTGAACTGGGCAAAGTGAAAAAAGGAACACGGCAGAGCCACTCGCGCTGACCGCGTTTTCGGTCCTATTCAGGAGGGTTACGCCAGTAACGCTTTTTTTTTTACCCCCACCAACTTAGTCGCCGGATGAGAACTAAAAAAGCATGGCCTGACGTATGACAAAGGAAAGGATACACTACGCACGGTGGATGGGCGAAAGAGATGGCCTTCCTCTCTGGTAGTACGTGGTGCAAAGACAAAGGCAGGTGAATGCGTGTGCGCGACAAACGAGTGCGAAGAGGTTACTCGGCAACTTAGCGAGACGCCGCACTACAAGTCTCGACGACCGGAAACACCTGCTGCTTTTGCGAGGAGAGCGAGCAAGATGGGGGAAGAAGAAGCAGAAGAGGAAATGCAAAAAATGATAAAGCAGTGTTGCAGGCGGAGAACGAGACGAGGCTCTAAGAAATGTGGCTTCGGCGTTGCCTCGTGTGAACGCAGATGCAGTCGCCTGCCGCCGCTAGCCTTCCCAACTTATTGGCAGCGCCAGACAGGCAACGAATGCTGCAGACTAGCTTTTGTGTTTTTCCCGTTTTTTTTTACCACCCAATAGAGGTTTCTTTATCGAAGCCGTGGTCAGCTACGCGCCGAACGGACGTACGAAAAAAAAAAAAAAAATAGAGGGAAGCCGGTTGAGAGTTACGTGAGTGGAATAGAGTTCGGAAAAAGTTGTTTTGGAATGTCGCGCCAGCAACTAGGCCAGAAAAAACAAGAACCTAAACGAAATGCGCTAGTGACCCTGAAGCACAGCGCGACACCACTTCGTCAGCGAAAAAAAGCTACGCGACTGGGACAGGAATGACCCAGTGACGTTTGATGTGGGCGCCGAGAAAAATCGAACAATTTCTGGCGTCAAAAAAAAAAAAAAAAGCCCCGCCAAATGTGTGCTTCCCTGCAGAAACCCACCGGCCTACCGTCATCACCATCTGGTTCGTTGTAAAAACCAAAATACACGCGTGCTTCGTCAGATAGGCGAAGAAACGAGCTGCTTCTCACCGAACCAGCCGGGAAGCGGGGAGTGTTTATACTTTTCGTGTTTACGGAGACAACAGCGCTTTTAAACCTGGTCAAGAAAGTCGGCGCGGTTCGCGTATATAACGGGAAGGGTGCGTGTTTTTCTTGGCCGGCCAAAAAGAAGCCGCAACACAGTCCGAGCCCCCTCATTCAATGGACGAAAGCGCACGCTTGTTTAGCTTTCGATATATAGGTCGGGGAATAGCGCTTTTTTTATTCAGCTACAACGGTGATTCTTAAAGGTCCTACATGGCTAGCCAAGCGTACCGGACATTCCCTACGGCACACACTGCCATCCGGTAGCACGAGGAAGTCTGTACAAAGTGAGTTGCGAGAAAAGAAGAACATAGCAAAAAAAAAAAAATTTGTCGAATCGGAAAGCGCGCTAGCAACATCACTCGGGATGTGGACCCCTCACTTGCGCGCGCGTTTTCTTCCGCGCTCGTGAACCCCTGGTGGAAGCATGGAAGGCGTGCAGTTACTCACACTTCTTGGCTGGCTCTCTCGACAACTTGCGAAGGCTTCGGCAGTCGTTGCACGACTAGAAAGTAACATTATCAGCGACGACTCGCGATGGTACTTCGACAACAACCACCGCCCGCTGCCATTTCGGAGGAAGTGGGGCACCGCCACCAACGCCAGTTTCCGGTTTAGGGCAAGCAAGTTTTAGGCGAAGTTGCGTATCGAAATGAACGCGTATTTTTTTATACAGATAGACAAATCAATCAGATATATAGATAAAGCAATCAAATAAGTATTAGTTAGTGTAATATAAACTCAACTGATACAACTTAAACAATGGAGCTCAGTATTGACTTAAATTGCATCATATTTTTTGAGCAGACGACTCGCATCAAACGTTGTTCTCTGGTGTGTTGGCTGGGGTTCTTCTTAACTCTTACTTCCCACGTGAAAAAACTGTTCAAATTCATCGCTAAAGCACAGAAACACTACTGAATTTCCGAACAAGCTATTGAGAAGGTAAGTTTTGCTTGAGCAAAGTCGCAACGCTGTTTACAAACACAGAAATTCTTTTGTGTGTATAGGAAAACTTCAAATCGGCAAACACTCCTTTGCGCGATCGCAAAGGAACGCAAAACTTCGCCGCGCTGCTGAAGTAAGTGTGGATTATTTGTAACCACCTTTTATTTGAAATCAATGGTGAGTAATTAAAGAGTATTATCTTTGGGGAAGCTCG